CCTTTAATTTTAACGGCCCCAAGCCATGGCTCTTGGATTAGGGCTATGGCCGTCCTTTGTGCCTCCAACCACTTGCGTAATTGAGCCGACGCTGTCTCACTGTGGTGGAGGTTGGCCTACACTAGGCTAGTTTTGGACGAAGTGCACGCCATCATCGATCGCGTCATCCCCGTCCCCGCCTAAAAATAAGCCTGCCAGCAGATCTTTTTTTTCATTGTCAGATTCATCGTCAGCCACCGAGTCGGAATTGGACGGCAAAATGCAGTCCTCTTCGTCGCTCAGTGAGCTGCCGCTGAGCTCAGTTTCCACTGGGGGCTTCGGCTCTGTTGTGCAGGCAGTTTTTTCACTGGACTTGACATCCAGTGATTTCGATGTACCGGCAACCATGGCCACGTTATCCATGACTTCCGGGTTCTTTTCTGCCTGTTTGCTAGGTGGGGAATCAACGATTTTTCCTCCACGAAACTTCCTCCCACTTCCTTCCTGGAATTTAACGTATACCGCCCCACATACACATGCGAGACGGCGCCCGGCTTTCATCAGGGTCGGGATATGATCCTCCGGCACCGAAACAACGAGGAACCACCCGTCCGTCTGTTTGTCCGCTTTGAGTAGTAGCCAGTCCTTGATGTTTACCCAGCGGTTCTGGTACGCAAGCACACGACCAATGTCGCGTGAGTCCTTCCAGGCACCTTGGGCATCAGGGATAAGGATACCACATTTGATTCTTTGTGGTATCTCTGACTGTTTCTTAATAGTCAGCGAGGTGTTGGATTTGAGGTCGAGGGTATTAATATTCCCCTTCAACCAGTCCAGAGCCTTCTGGTCATCGCACCACAGCTTTAGGACACCCTCCGTGTAACGGTTTGCCTCTAAAAACCGGGCCCGACGCATTAGGGTGCTGGTTACTCCAGGCCTCGCTGATCATCTTCCTCTGTATGGCCACGAGGATGTCATCAGCTATTTCCTTTGTTATGTGACCTGAACGCGCACACGTTAGGGCCACACTCAAATCTGCTTTAGCAGCAGAAGCGTTGCTTGTTCTTGGAGCCTTTGTTTGCTGTTCAAGTTGCACATTTTTGTGCTCTCCTCTCGGCGAGGTGGACTCCTCCAGCAATCTTTTGGCTGCTCTTTCCTTCTTTCGAGGACGCTTGGCTGCTCTCTGGTTCCTGGCGGATTTCTTAGAGCTGGTTCCGGCGGCCGTGCCTACTGCTCGGGCTGGATTTTCATCCTTCCCAGTTTCAGCACGACTACTGGTTCCAGCCCCAAGCACCGCAGTAGCAGTAGCTTGCCCAGCTCGCTGAGTCTTGCTCTTTGAAGCAGCGAGCGCGGCTCTTTCTCTGCGGCCTTTTTCTCACTTATTCTTATTCTTCTTTTTGACCTTTGCGCTACTGCCTGCTGGGATAGACCCACCTGATGGTGCGTCGGGTCGGCAAGTCACCATTTTGGGTGCCTTGCGCTTCCCCTTACGGCTCACCACTTGCCAGGCAGCGGAGAAAAGGTCTTCGGTCCTTTGGGGCTCTGCAGGAGTTTTGCTACTCGCGGCCCCTTGCTCATTTTTCTCGTCCAGCTCCTTGAATTTGGAACTGGATTTAGAGACATCCAGCGCGGAAATTGCCACCTTGGTGGGGCCACCTACGCTGGGTGGTACAGTCAGTGGAACGGCCGGTTTAACGGCGGTTCCTTCTGGTTTATCAGTGTCTAAGGTAAACACCTCTGACACTTCTCCTTCTCTACTAATAGGCCTTATGTTGTCCATAGTTTCTGACATGTGTAATAATTCGTCCCCCCCGGCTTCCCACCCTCCATGGGGCCCGCACCTTTGGGAATGCCCTACTTTATTAAAAGAATTTCAGGCGTTAGGATTACCGGGGGAATATAGGGACGCAGAGTTGGCTCACAGCGCGACATCGGGAGCTCGAGCCGATCCAGCTGGCAGATAGGGCTGAAAAGGTCCATCCCCACTGCCCGAGTTGACTTTCACTTGCCCCGTCAGCATGGCCTTTACCACCACCTAGCCCTTTTCAGAGAGACTAGGCAGCCCCCACATCCCTCGCCTGCGACCCTCTGACGGGACGCTTGGCCATTTATTTATCTGTGGCTAGCAGATAAGGCCACCGTTTAGCTTGAAATCCGGACCAAAGAGGGCGTGTTGCCTCTCGACACTATATACCCCAGTGACGATCGGCTCAACCCTCCAGGACTCCTTCATCCCCGCATACGGCGCTCAACTGCGCAGGTCCTAGCGCAGGTGGGTGTGTTAGTCCACCGGATACACCCACTCTCTCCGGCGGAACCGTTCCCTCCTCCTTTCCGGGCTGGGCTTTTGTGTGTTGGCGAACTTCACATGTCTTCGAAGTTTTTTTTAATTTCTCAGGCATGCAGGTGTCCTCACAATGTTTTCCTTCATCGCCGAGCATGTGGTAATAATAATAATAATAATAATCTCCCCTCCAGTCGCTCCCATCTTGTGGAATTGCTAAAAATCACTTGTGAGTTTAGCAGTTCCATTGGAATGGAGCTGGGGACGGATAAGTGTGCGGTCCTCCATGTTGAGAGGGGAAGGGTTGCTAACTCTGAGGGCATAGATTTATCTATGCCCGTCAACTTAAGGACCCTTTCCGAGGCTGAAACATACCGATACCTGGGTATGTCACAGAACATCGGTATCGATGAGGCTGGTGTGAAACAGTCAGTTTGCGACGTGTTTTATGCACGCTTGACCAAAGTGCTTAATAGCCTTTTGTCCGGTGTGAATAAGACACACGCATATAACGGTTGGGTCATGCCTGTCCTTATGTATACCTTTGGCATACTCAGGTGGACTCAGACTGAACTTAACGCCCTGGATAGAAAAGTCCGCACTACCATGACGTCCCATAGGATGCATCATCCGAGATCGTCGGTAATGAGGCTGTACTTGCCGCGAAAGCATGGTGGGCGTGGCTTTCTAAGCGCGCTCACTATGCATAATCGTGAAGTGTGCAGCCTCCGTCATTACTTCCTGGCGAGATCGGATGATCCATTCTATAATGACGTCATTTCTAGTGATAAAGGGCTTACCCCTCTATCCTTGGCCAACGAGCAATGGCAGGACCCAGCAGTGCTTAGCATTTCCGACCGGGAGACCGTATGGAAGGAGAAGGAGCTCCACGGGAGGTACTACAGGGTTCTACATGAGCTCTTCGTAGATACAGTCGCCTCCCTCAACTGGCTACGTTTCGGTGACCTCTTCGGGGAAACCGAGGGTTTTGTCTGTGCAATACAGGATCAGGTTATTAAGACCAACAACTATCGGAGATACATCCTAAAGGATGGCACCGTCGACGTCTGTCGAGCTTGTCGCCATCCCGGGGAGTCACTTAGACATGTCATCTCCGGTTGTTCGGCGCTTTCTAACTCTGAGTACTTGCACAGGCACAACCTAGTAGCCAGAATTCTACACCAGGCGCTCGCTCTGAAATACGGTCTCGTGGACCGGAAATTGCCGTATTACAAGTACTTGCCGGAAGCCGTGCTCGAAAATGACCGCGCCAGGCTCTACTGGGACCGGGCCATCATCACAGACAGGACTATTCTTGCAAATAAGCCTGATATTGTGCTGATGGACCGGGCACAGTCAAGGATATTTTTGGTCGACATTACCATTCCGTATGACGAGAACCTCGTGAAAGCCGAAACAGATAAGCAAACAAAATATCTGGACCTGGCTCACGAGGTGACCGACATGTGGGGTGGTCTGCCGACCGAAATTATTCCTGTAGTCGTCTCTGCAAACGGGCTAATCCCAGTCAGCCTCTCGGGTCATCTGAGGCGACTGGGACTCCGTGACGGACCGCTCCGGGCTCAAATGCAGAAGGCAGTGGTCCTCGATACCGCCCGCATCGTCCGTCGGTTTCTTTCCCTTTCCCCCTAACCCTCGGCCGTTTGGTCTCCCCTGCCGAGGGCTTCCATCTGGTTGGATCTTTATTTATTTGTGTATTTTTTGTATTTATTTTATTTTATTGATATTTATGTATATTTATCTTTTCATTTTAATTTATAATTATATATTTATAGAAACCAACCAGATGAGAAAACTATACAGATACCCCAAAAATAATAATCTTTTATTTAAATAAAAGTACGATAGTAAAGTGAAGACTCTGATCCCCAAAATAGACGAGTCTGTATCTTAGGGATCAGCACTTAAAATGCAATTAATAATTTATTTGCTGGCAGTGGGGATCGACCCCGGGTTGCTATCGTATTGTGAAATTTACAGAGAGTCACCATGGCTGGCCATCTGAGCTACCATGGCTCATTTAAATATTAGCTATAATTATAAAAGTTTGATTTTACTTTATATATATTATTATTATTTTTTGTTTTGTAAAACCATCTTTTGGATTTTTATGGTATTCAAAAAATTTACATCTAATAAAAAATAGTTTGTTACTTTGCAACATTGGCTTGGAAGGAAAGTCCAAAGTCATTAAGTCCATAGTCTATCCTCCAGGTAATCCTCATTGTGATGTCGAATACATCATAGGTTAGAGTAAATAAATAAATAGATGATATATAAACATACAGGCCTTCTTATTAATAGATATAATTTTAGTTGTATATAAACATATTTTGCTCAAATCATAATCCATTTCTCCAAGTAAGGTCATATAGTGCTATATGACAGTGTTAGCGTGTCTTGTCTAGATGAAACAAAGGATGGGATATTGTTTCGTCTAGACAAGATGCGGTAAATCCACCAAATTAGCTGTTCTAGTGCCTGAGGTAACGCTTCTTTGACCGCTGTGCCTTTTAACGTCTAGCGTTAAATTAATTAACTCTGCTGCGGTAGCGCAGCAAAGCCTTATTGCATGGAACGTAAACACTGAGTGTGTGGAACACCCATTGTTGCAAAAAATAACTGAAATCTTTTCGCAGTGACGAAGCCATCTGGCATGGATGAAACTATAGACCCGTTATCGCCTGGGATAAATAGCCCTCGAATGCCAGGAATCATGAATAAAATACGGATGAGGTTCAGCAGATCGCCGCCATCTAGGCCACCAGGCGAAGGTAAATAGGTGTTCATTTTACTTAAAAAGAGCTAGTCGATAACTGCATCTCCTGAGTATTCTTTTATGCAATAAGGGTAGGGCTGCCATCCGTCCGAGTTTCCCCAGATTTGTCCTAGTTTGGAAGACGTCCGGGGAGCGTCTGGGCGGGGTTCAAATTGTGGTCCGGGTAAAGCCCTAATACAATTTAAACCCAGTTTGTTTCACCGCTCGCGCTGCCGACGCTATTTTAAACATATTTTAAACAATATGTATAAAGAATTTCAACTTTCTAAAGTCAAAATCAGAATGGTTCATTCATAATTTTTTATTTCATTAAACAGCAATTGTTACTAGAATAAGTCATGAACATTTTGTTTTTAACGCTATGTCTGTTGACAAAGGTGCAGTGAAGAACAGACAAGAAATTTGAGGTTTGCTCTTTTAAAAAATGTTTGTGCAATTTTTCTCATTTACTTTAAACTGGTCTTTCCATCTAGTTTATGTTAGTAAAAATATATTGATGGTACTGTCATAATGATTCTAGGTGTAAGGGTTTGGGTTGGGCTTTGATGAATTACTGAGTGAGTCCTGCAATTTAATACATGAAGAATTTTATTAAAATTCTAAGAAATATAGATATTTTCTATTCATTATTTATTATTTATCATTATAAATTTTAAATTCTATTCACTATTTATATTATTTAAATGTAAATTGACTGTACATTGTCTGAAAGACTAACTAACACTAGTTTTAAGAGAACTACCATATTCGTTTAATTAAGTGTTACCACAAAGTTAAAATTCATGACATAAGCTATTTAAGTTTTAATTATGTCTAGTCTATTTAAAATTTGAAGGCATTTTAATGTTATTGCTTTAAGAATTGCCAAATAATTAAAAACTATATGTAGTTTTCTTTTTAATTTAAACTATTTACACCTTAGATTTACACAGTTCTATGAATGTAAACAACAAATTGTGTTTTGTTTGTCTGTAATCTATAGAAATAAACATGTAGGATTGCTTAAAAAGTTACAATTTATAGTTTTTTAAGTTTTAGTTCTGATTATAGTCTATTTTAAAATTTGAAGACATATTGATGTTATTAAAGTTATTAAGATCGATTAAACACACTACTTCATGCAACAAAAGAGACTTAAAATTAAAGTTTTTCTTCTATCAAGTACGGAGTAAAATATATTTTAATCAAGATGTAAGTGAATGAAAAAAGTATTGGAATGTCCGGGGTGAAAGCTCCAAAATCCGGGAAACCTACTCTTCCGGTCCTGGGGGGCGGGTTTCAGAGATGGCAACCCTAAATAAGGGTGACAAAGTGGATGTTGTGGCAAATAGATATGTACATCTGTCCTTGATTGAGAATCAATTTGGTGATGGGGAATCATAGTGGTTGTGCACTGAGGATTTTGTTGTAACTTATAAGAAATTATATCTGTCATATAAGATTGTGTACTGCTACCTATCGGAATAACAAGGTCTCACAGTCAGGACCCTCATGGCGCGATGTTTCTCCTATGCTGCAACTGCACGGTATGATGCTTATGGTTGATAGATTCGAACATGGTCTAAAACTTGTTTGAAATTGGCCAGGAACATATTCATGAGGGTTGACAGCACATTTATTTATTTAAGGACAGCCAGAGGTAATTACAATAATATATGTTCATAAATATAATATATAGGATTAATTTTTAAATGTGAACCCTATTTAAGGCAGCCACAACATGCTTCATAAGGAGAGTAAAAATTTTATAACATAATTTATAAAATATTAGAAACAACCTAATAATAAATTAAAAGCTAATATAAAAAGAAAGGAGAACTCACAATAACCATTAAACTGGGGCTGATGCAGATGTAAAGGTAAAACCTTTTGCTACCATCATAAACGGAGCGCAGTAAAAGTCTAGTCATAACAATCTTTATTTCAACGAAAGATTCAATTACATTCCAATTGTATTAAATTATTTTTACTCAATAATTATTACAAAAGCGCGCGCTTTTGCTTTACATTTATTTTCCTATAGGCAATTTAGTTTTTGGTTATTTTTTAATATCTTTTAGACAAATTCAGATTTTTATTGTTTACAAACCCTGTCTGCATTGAGCTACAAATATTTCCGAAAAAATATGTTAATTGATTTGTAAGAATTGTTTTCTTGCGCCATGGGAGCTCCGCTCTAATTAAATAAAATAATTAACATTTTATACTAGCAAACTCTTAAATATTATCTCTTAAATTCTTTAGCACTGTTTTTTCTAACATCCGCAACACCAGAGGATTTGCAGGTGCGTTGCCGGCCTTTTAGAAAGGAGTAACCCCTTTCCTGAAGATTCCTAGGTCGTATCGGTCCGGAAAAATTGCCGGTGGTAAACTATTCCACAGATAGGTCGTACGCGGAAGAAAACTCCTAGTGAGACGTACAGTGGTGGACTGTCAAGCATCCAGATGGTGTGGATGGTATCGGGAGATTTGCCGCGTAGTGCGTTCATGAAATTTGGCGGCTGGGATTAATTCGAACTATTCCTCAAAGCACTCCCCGTGGTAGATGCGTAAGAAAATGCAAAGAGATGCAACATCTCTTCGTAGCGCCGGTGAATCGAGCCGATCGGAAAGCACTCGGTAGTCGACGATTCGAGCCGCTCTGCGTGGATGCGGTCAAGTGAAACGAGCTGGCACTGGTAAGCCCCAACCCAGAGATGGAAACAGTATTCCATGTGCGGCCGAGCCTGCGCCTTGTAAAGTTGAAGGCGGTGTGCCGGCATGAAATACAGTCCCGCTCTGCTGAGCACGCCAAGCTTTTTAGAGGCCAATTTTGCCTTTTCTTCCAAGTGACCACGAAACTGCACGTCACTCAATATTTCGACGCCGAGGATTCCGATACTGGCTGAGGCAACAAGGGGAGTGCCTTGAAATTGAGGAGATACGACAAAGGGGTTCTTTTTAGCGATTAACGCGCAAAGTTGTGTCTTCTGAGGGTTAAACTAGACTGGATTTAGTCGCCCCCAATCCGAGACTTTGTTCAGCAAAGACTCGACTTCAGACACAAGTTTGTCCCGGTACTCGGAGACGTTTTCCCGAGAAATATTGGCACGGCCGGTGTACAGAGCATCGCCAGTGCTATCATCTGCATAGCAATGAATGTTGCCGGTTTGCAACGTATCGTTGAAGTGCAGAAGAAGCAGCGTTGGTGATAGCACGCAGCCTTGTGGAACACCAGCATTAATAGGCTTGTAATCGTAGCTTGCACCGTCTACAACAACCTTGATGCTCCGATCTGCAAGAAAGCTGGTGATTCAATTGCACAATATCTCGGGAAGCCCATAGAAAGGGAGCTTCGAAAGAAGCGCTTTGTGCCAAATCCGATCGAAGGCCTTCGCAATGTCCAAACTAACGGCCAATGCCTCCCCCATGGACTCTACTGCCGCGGCCCATCTATGAGTCAGGTAGATCAGAAGATCACCAGCTGATTGACCACGACGAAAACCGTATTGGCGATCACAAATCAGCAGGTGATCCTCAAGGTGCCTCATGAGCTGTCAGTTTAAAATGGACTCCATTGTTTTGGAGAACAAGGAGGTGATGGCGACGGGCTTGTAGTTGGACTGGTCTGAGCGGTCGCCTGTTTTAGGGATCGGGTGGACGAAAGCCGTCTTCCATGATTTTAGGACTACGCCTTGGGAGTAGAGGAGTACCGGAAAAGACGCGTTAAGACCGGTGCCAACTCTGGAACACACGTCCTCAGCACAATTGGGGGGGGGGATACCGTGAGGCCCATTCGACTTCTGGATGTTCAGGACGAGGAGTGCTTTGCGAACCGAGCGCTGTGTGAACCGCACCTCCGGCATGGAGCACTCATACCGCGGGATGTTCGGCGGCATACTTCCCCCGTCATCGAGACTGAGTTGGACGCAAGGAAAGAGCCTGACAGATCGGCTTTCTCCTTTGCGGCTTGGGCCAGTGAGGATGGCCGACAGAAATTCCCTTGGACAGCTTTGGCGAGAGACCAGAATGCACGGGTTACAGAAGAAAGGCTGACTAGTTTCTCGCCAATTCTGCCTATGTGCTCTGACTATACCTTTGCAATGACTCCTTTGAAGGAGCTGGAAGCGAAATAATACTTCTTTTTTAGAGCACTGGTGTTGTCCCGGGACGTTGATGCGTCAGCCCAGGCTTGGTAGCACTCCTGCTTATAGCGTGATGCTATTTTACAGGAGTGACCAAACCATGGCTGAGATTTGCCTCCGATGGGCACCACAGAGGAAGGAATAAAAAGTTCCATACCCTGAAGTACCACATCAGCGACAAAATCTACAACAACGTTGGGATCGTCCGGCGAGAAGCAAACCCGCCCCCAAGGGTAGGATGCAAAGAAAGACCGCATCCCATCCCAATCAGCTGACCTATAGTGCCAAACACGGCGGTAGCCTGCAGAATGCAACCGCGATTTCAGCGTGGTCACACTCCGGACAAGACAATGGTCCGGGGAGCCTAAAGGAGCGTCGACGGAAATCTGATATCCATCCGGATGAGAGGTCAGCAGAAGGTCAGGTCAGAATAAGGAAGGTGCATGATCCGCCACATCTGGAATCCGCGTAGGTGAAGTAACCACTTGTGTCAGACCATATGCCAAGGCAAAATCATGAACAGATCTCCCCGGATAATCGGTTAAACGCGAACCAAGACAATCGGCGTGGTGGGCGTTAAAATCTCCGAGGATCACGATCTCTGCGGAGGGGATCTGCTGTAGCAACGAATCTGTAGCCATTTGGACGTGGTCGAAGAGTCGGTCTGTTTCGGCATTATCGCTATGGGACCTTAGAGGCACCCGTATACGCGCGGATGGTCGTCGCTGTCTACGCGTAGCCAAAGGATGGACAGTTCCGAACATTCAAGACTGCCGAGGCGTCGAGAACAGATGTTCTCTGTGACGTATACGCAAACTCCAGCCCGAGGCACAAAGGAGTGTTCCAGTTTGTCCCCCGGGTAGGAAAGATACGAAGCATCAGCCGGAGAGGACACCTGCGTCTTGGTTAGAAAGAGTAGAGCCGGCCTCGCTGTCTCGAGATGGTAGTGGACAGCGTTTAGGTTAGAATGAAGTCCCCTAATATTGCAGAAATTCAAGCATAGCGTGGCGGGGTCGCCTTGGTCTTGTTGTTCTTGCGAGCAGTTGTGGTCTTGAGCGGAATTCTAACCCCCCCCCCCCAGAATACGCGGGGCAGCCTGAGCACCCACGCTCAGGAGTGGAGTAACTTGGTCGTGGATGCTCAGCGAGGGATTCTCCAGGGGTTGGGCTCCTGGAGTAGATCTTCACTTAATTCCACATCCATGTTAAGGGGGGGGGGGGGGTTAGGCCTCCGGCCACCTACACTCACCAGACGAAACGTGGAAGCAGAGCTTCCACTTCACGCCGGTATTCTGTGAGGTCGTGGTACTACCCCGGTTTGAGCCGGCCCATACGTGCAACGGCAAAGCTGCCGCGTGGCTCTACCACTGTTATTGCTAAAAATGTCCACAGAATCCGATATCAAATTCAGCTAACGTGACATTCTAGCTAAACTATTGTTGTGACCTAGATTAGATTTGGAAGGAAGTGGATAGATAAAGTCTTGGAACTTTAAATATTACTTTTCGCAATAGCTCTGCTGTGTCGGTAGTTCCGGCCACTATTTTATAAAACATTACCATGTCAAGGTACTTTTTGCGGTTTGACAAGCTATTAACGCTAAAGAATTTTAACTTCTCATTATATCCGGTAAGTTTCTTATCGTTTTTGTTACTACAATATCGTTTTGTATCCTTTCTATACGTACATTCTTCGAATACTTCTTCATGAGCCCATAAAAGTCTGCCCATAAAAGTGGCATTCTAGTAAGACATGGGCCTGTTCTATTGCATAGATGATGCCTCATTTGTCACACTGCAGATGGATTGGATTGAAGTACGCACAGCTGCTTTTCGTCGTCGTCTAGGTATACCTTGACATACTTAAACAAAAATAAAATAAATATCCAAAGATGTAGTCTCCCTGCTGAGAACAGGAATTTCATGAACGCACATTGCGGTAAAACTCCCTATACCATCCACACCATTTGGATGCTTGGCGGTCCACCACTGTACTTTCACTAAGAGTTTTCTTCCGCGTATCTCTCTGTGGAATAGCTTACCACCGGCGATTTTTCCTGACCGATACGACCTGGGGACCTTCAAGAAAATAGCTTATTCCTTCCTGAAAAGGCCGGCAATGCACCTGCAATCCCCTGGTGTTGCAGTTGTTCATGAGCGGCGGTAGTCAGTTAATATCAGGTGAACCGTATGCTCGTATGCCCACCCTCCTATGAAAAAAACAAGTCTTCTCTTATTTTTGAAAGTGTTTTGGAACGAGTAAACGTCTGAAGCACTGCCCTGATGTGATGCATGCTGGCTTATTTTACATGTCATCGAAATAATTTGTTTATCAATGTTTTTTTTTAAATGAATATAAGCCAGTGTTTGACTACAATCCCAAATGGTACTTAGTACGAGCACCAAATAAGCTCGACGATGTATTTATAATGGTTATTAACATTGTCACTGGTGCCTTTTTTAAAGGATAGGGTGACAAACGAGCACACAGTCCACCTAATGGTAAGTAGTTGCTGCGGTCCATAGACATCTACATCTATCCTCGATTACGAATCAAAATGCAGATGCGTTGTCACCCGTGAGGACTAACATCGAATGCCTCATTTCTAGTAAAAAGGGTCTCCGTTCTCTACACTCACACATTTCACGCTGGTATTCTGTGAGAGTGTGGTCCATCCCCGGTCGAGCCGACCCATTCGTGCTACAATTATACTACTAATATAACTGCAGCATGGCTCTACCACGTATAAAAGTTGGTCTGGTCTGAGGGATGAACTCGGTTTTCAAGCTGCCACGGCGGTTTGTAAGAGTTTCATAATAATATATTAATTATAAACAATAATTGCACTCATTATTAATGATTACAAAATTCGCTATCTTTACACTGTAAGTGAGTCAATGTAAGTAAACTCAAGTATTCAAGGTTGCTTGAAAAACAATTTAGTTCATGGATGCGTTAGTGAGTTGAATATTATCAGTTTGAACTTGACAGTGAATTAATTCATACGTTAAAGCAATGTCAAAGAAATGCAGAGAAGGTTGTATTTAAATATTCTTGTGTTGTTTTTTTAAAGATTGTTATCATTTATTTAATAATATTGCCTTTGTTAAATTTAATGATATAAAACATTGAAAATTGGAGGAAGGTTTGAATGCAGAGGGAGACTTAAAGTTATATTAATCTTTGCTCTTACATTATTATTTTATTTGGACGCATCAGGGCAATAATGTAAATCATACTCAGCAATAAAATAATACTAAGCTGTTAACCATAGCAGCCTTATAAAAATTCTTTCTCCGACAAAGACATTTAAAGTAGTGTATATATATATATTTAAATCTCTTTGTTCTCCGACTTTCCTTTTGAACTAAAAATTGCTTGCAACTTCTTATTATTAAATAAATTGTAATAAGACATTTTCTTTATGTAACAGGATATGTGGAGTTTGGGGAATTTAGGACGGAGATGACTGGTGTTAAGAAAGTGGGCACTTTCGCTGGTGTCTTCTGCCCAGTAGTCCTATCTATGTTTAGTGCGTTAATCTTCATTAGAATGGGTTAGTATAATCTATAGTTTTTGAATTTTTTAAGTGTCTAATATAAGATAATCGTAAAGAAATGAAATTTAAAAATGTTTAAGAATTTAGATATTTATAAGCTGAATGTTTTTTAACTTAGGAAAATTTTAAATAAATTTACCCTTTTTAATACTTGACACTAATCTCAATATATAAAAATCAATTGTTGTTCATTAGTCTCGCAAAAACACAAAACTGGTTCGATCGATTCTGATGAACTTGTGTGCATTTGAGTGTTTTTTTTTTAATAGTATAGGGTGACAAACGAGCACACAGTCCACCTGATGGTAAGTGGTTGCTGCGGCCCATAGACATCTACATCTATCCTCGATTACAAATCAAAATGCAGATGCGTTGTCACCAGTGAGGACTAAGATGGAATGCCTCGTTTCCAGTAAGAAGGGTCTCCGGTTCTCTACACTCAACACACCATACGAAACACAGCAGCATTAAACTGCTATTTCACTCTGGTATTCTGTGAGAGCGTAGTCCTTCCCCGGTCGAGCCGTCCCATTCGTGCTACAACTATACTACTAATATAACAGCAGCATGGCTCTAACACGGTCCTTACATAGCTTAGATTCTCAATTGGGCCAGGTAGGTTGAGCTGTTGTTGAGATCCATAAATCACCGCGCGAGACCGGGGTGGATAGTTAAACATAAAATAATAGTTGTGATTTCTTACTATATGAAATTAAACAAGAAGTTTGGGAAAAATAATTAATAATAATAAAAATTTTGAAACGGAGGAAGATATACTGCTTAATAATTGTTCAAGATAATACAAGACATGTTCAACACAACAATTCAGATATTATATTAGCGACTTATTTGGTACGATAAGACTTCCAATTTTGTTGCAGTTTATTCGTAATTTTCAGACATTGTTTTATAAAAAAGATCATTGACGTTTTATATATATTTGACTTTGGTTACACTCGATAAAATGTGAAATTAAGCACAAAGTTACCTACCACGAACACGTGCATAGGTTTGTTTACGTGAACGGTGGCGTTGTATGCATGAGTGAAATACAAACACAACTCGCACGTTCGTCCTTTCGCTAAAAGCATATTAAGTATCTATTGAATGCCGGGCAGTATGAGGTAAGTCTGATGGGCGGGAGAAGGTCATTAGCCATATTCTGTACCTAGTACTTTTACGAATTTTGGATCATATGAGAAAGAAACACAGCACAGCAATAGCGTGAAATATCTGTTAATGCATGGATGGTTAATGGACTGGAAAGGATATGATATCAGTATCATAGCAAATACAACACTCTCCTCTGATTTGTTGACGATATTATATCAATCGATAGGCCTTATTAGTATGCTCAACAAATTCAAAATGAAGATTTTCGCAGTAGATCCAGAGTTACTGACAAAGCCTAATGAATGGATCAGTAAGCTGAATTGGCAATAAGCTGGCAAGCTGAAAGAATCTACTGACCGATGAGGAAAGGTTCTCAAGTGGTAGTTTCATATCGGTGAGTGCACTATAGGGTGGCCCCCCACTGGATAAATTGATGACCATGTGAGAAATGCAAAAGTCGATGGATGCAGGTGGCTCAGGATGGTATTTTCTGGCATTAATTGGGGCAGGTCTGCGTTCAGCAGTGGACTTGTGAAGCTGTAATGATGATGATGATATTTATTATAATCTTTTGTTTAATATTCGCAGGTTACCTGGTGGGGAATGCCGGACTGTTAGTGACATTAGGACAATTTGGGTTAGCGTACCTTCTTGTTTTCTTCACTGTAACTTCAATTTGTGCAATATCAACAAATGGTGCCGTTAAAGGCGGAGGAGTTTATTGTATCCTTTTGAATCTACTTTATAACTATTGAACTTACATCGAAGGACTACCAGTCCTAAAAATGAAGGAAGAACACAATTGAAAAAAAAAACATGTTTACACACAAACCTAACCCAAACCACAGTTTGTTGTCACATGTGACAATAACATGAAATAGCTTCTCGTTTCAGTTACTGTGTTTCATCTATCACTGTCAAATGAAGCAACATTATGCTGTATGCTGATGCAAAAAGACATTAACCTTTGGGCACACGGTCGGATCCGACAAAGGCGATGTTCCGTCAAAATTCAAGCGGTCGGATTCGACCGCACCCACCCACAACAACACTTTAACTCATAAATACTTGAATTTAGAGACTACTTTTCTATGAAGAAGTTTGGTGTTATAGAATCTATACAAAATTCTCTATCCTGTGGTCTAAACAAAAGTCAGTTACTCTATGTATTTTTATTTGTATTCTACTTCAACTTACGACATTTGCCGACCGTACGAAAATGGCGTAATTTTAGTAGATTAAAAATAAAAATCTATAGAGTAATTGATTTGTTTAGGCCGCAGGATAGAGAATTTTGTATTAATTCTATAATGCCAAACTTCTTCATAGAAAAGTAGTCTCTAAATATAAGTTTTAATGGTTTAAAGTGCTGTGGGTGGGTGCGGTTGCATGCGACCGCTCGGGATTTGACGGACTCATGTAACTGCATGGGAATTTTATGGGATTGAAGGGTTAAGCTATATGTTATAGCCATTAGGTAATTTCCCATACATTTTTTGGGGTGACAAACAAGTACACAGTCTTACGTGATGATAAGTGGATGTTGTGTCCTTTATACACCAACGTCTATCGTCGATTAAGCATCAAATTAGAAATGCTTTATCACCCCTGTGGACTGAGATCGAATGCCTCATTGCCAGTAAAGGAGTCTTTGGTTCTTTACACTCACCATATGAAACACAGCAGCGTTGTTTTGCTATTTTACGCTGGTATTGTGCGAGAAAGTGGTACACAGAAGAATAATATCGTGACGTGCTTGTGCTGCAGCAAGTACAGCTGCCGCGTGGCTCTGCCATGTAAGAATTTATTTAAGTATAGGGGTGATTACTGCACCGTTTGATGAAGTACGTCCCTAACTAAGCTTAATATGTATTTATCCTCGGTGTTATCTAGGTTTGTACGTAAACGGAACTTTATAAGTATTGGTTTGAAAGTTATAAGAAACATCTGTATTTTAACATTGATTTTAAAGCAACTTTGAGTGTATGTATGCTTATGTGCATACATATATCGTTCAAAAGCGTAATATGGCAACTACATGTTCATCTACATAGTACGAAAATATAACTTACGTACACACTCCATTTTTACTGCTAAATACTGATTTTTTTCCTTTCTCTCTCGATGCTAGGTGAGACATCACCCATTTTAGTCGCTCTGACCGAAGAGTTCGAGTATTTGCTTGGCGTAGCCTTAAATCTACACAATAATAGCCTCAACGAGAAATCAGTTATGATAAGTAGAACATTAGGTCCAGAGTTCGGTGGCGCGATCGGGACTCTATTTTTCTTGGCCAATGTGGTGTCCAGCGCACTATGCATATCTGCTTGTACTGAAGCCTTGGTGGAGAATTTTGGACCTAACGGTAAGAGAGATACGGTAATTGCAATTATTTTATCTCGGTATGATTGTGTTATTTATTTTATTTTATTTTATAGGATAGTGTGACAAACGAGTACACAGTCCACCTGATGGTAAGTGGTTGCTGTGTCCCATAGACATCTACATCTACCCTCGATTACGATTTAAAATACTGATGCGTTGTCACCCGCTGATGCGTTGTCACCCGTGAGGACTAAGATGGAATGCCTCGTTTCCAGTAAAAAGGGTCTCCGGTTCTCTACACACTATACGAAGCACAACAGCATTAAGCTACTATTTTCCGCTGGTATTCTGTGAGAGCGTGGTCCTTCCCCGGTTGAGCCGACACATTCGTACTACAACTACTACTATACAATAATATTAATATAACTGCATCATGGCTCTACCACGTATTAGTCACTTCGTCCCTGGCTGAGAAATCCCAGAAAGAACTTGTGGCTTTCGATCGATGGCGGTGTATTTGAAGTGGTTATAGTGGATCGATTTGTTTATCTATGCCACTTACTAAAAATTTGCTTAACTGAGAACTATTATAGCGCAGAGAGTAGCTTGAAGGAACGGGACGGGCTTGCAAGATCTGAAGACTGCAGAGTGCAGTTAATGTCTGCTTGGGAGCGGATGGATTGAGTACTTGAGGACGACGACGAAAGATTGAAAGTTGATTTTTCCGAAGGTTGCATTGTTGCATGTTCAGATCACGTCGGCTGGTCACCATTTAGCCGTGAAAGGAAAAGCGGACATCTCCCGCTGGGCAATGTTCAAGGAAGATCGGAGCTTTTTTATATACAGGGTTATTTTGCAATAACCAGTCAAATTTTCAAATAAGGTTAAGAATATGTGCCTTTTGATTCTTAATCGAGGTTAAATGTAGATATATATGGGTCACAGCATCCACTTACCATTAGGTGGACTATGTGCTCGTTGGTCACCTTTATCCTAAAAAAAAAAGTAATAAAATATGGTGAAGAAAAATTAATTAATAAAATCTCAAACATTCTGTCTTTCTTATCTTTTAAATTCAGAATGCGTAGTAATGCATTATTTTAACTGATTGTCATTCATAAATATCTAACGCTTACTATTTTACTACGCACGCACACATTCGTAAGGGTCGATCGATTGGTCGGATATCGCACACAGAGGAGCGCGTGCAAGCGTAGTTGTTGCCTTTAAATTACATACAATTTGGGATATTTTCAAAAAAAATTAGAAGCCTTATATACTCGTATTTCCAAAAACTGCAAAAATATTATAAAAAGTAAAGTAAAGTTACATATATGTGGGCACAGGGCTCCTCTCATTTCTGAGAGGGTTTTGTTGCAAGGAAGTGTCCGCCGCGCTGCCCCAATGCGTGTTGGCGAACTTCACATGTCTTCGAAATATTTTTTTTTCTTTTTTCTCAGACATTCAGGTTTCCTCACGATGTTTTCCTTCGCCGCCGAGAACGTGGTAAATTAGCATTTAAAATAGCAATTAACAATGTCTTTTATTCTCTGCTTAAGTGACATAAAAATGGGGATCTCAGGATTGCAATGGGAAGATAGGCGGGTACATCCTGAATTTCTTTAGCTAGCAAACTTTTAACGATGTTATCTTTCTTTCGCCGCTCACTTAGCGGTCTTAGAGTCTATATCACGTGAAGATGCCGCGTGTAGGCGAAACACGTGTCGTATTATTGTCGATGGTGTGTCTTTCCCAGAATAGTGGTGTTAGAAGTAGTGGTGACGGGATTAGTGCACGCAATTGAGGGAGGGCGGGAGGTACTATTCAAACGAGGTAAGACACATCATTTTATTTTATTCAGTGGATGGTTGCAAAGTAACTATTAATATCTTTATTATAATGGATTTCCGCAAAGTAACGCCTGATTCTATTAATTATAGTCTTTGAAAAGTAATCCTGCATCCCGCAGTACTTCGGAACTTAGATAAGCGCGATCTGGGCTTCGGTGCGTTTCGCTTGTGGCGCGACGACAGAGCTTCCACCGTATTCTCATATAACTTTTCCTTCTTCATCAGCCCGTAACCATCCACTGTTCTAGACAGACCTTTTCCATCGCTGGGACGATTTGCCTATAGACATACTTATCTGGTAGATTCAAGATTTTGGTACCAGACATGTTATATGAAAGTGAATGGATATAAGAGTAAAGGGAGGCCGAAGAAATGGAGGGTGTCAGGGATAATATGCGTAAGAAATTAAGTAAGTGGGGAGGCGACAGCTAATACAGGAGAATGGATGCAGAAAACGTGCCATGCCAACCCCAAATAACTTGGGATCCAACCTCAAATAACTTGGGATAAAGGCTTGAAGTGGAGTACCAGAAGCCTTTGAAGTTACTTTTATTTACATTTTAGATCCAATAGATGGTGTTGTTTCCAACTAATGTAATACTGGCTGTTAATATAACCTACATTGAAAAAGAAAAATACAATGAAAAAAAAAATCCTACTAATCCTATCCTAATCCGATGTCTTGCTGGTTCTTCCCAGGACCGAGGTTTTCTCCAAACCACTAGTAAAAAAAATGACACATTAAGAACTACTTGTAATCCATATTGAATAAAAGATATTAAATTATATTCTATTCTATACTATCTATTTTTTTAACGAGGTTTTTCAGTATCTTTACTTTTTATAATTATGATGGTCATACATCCGGACAGCCTGAGGTTCGAGTGGGGCCAAAATCAGTTATTAGGTTTGTCTGTCAAGGAATATCCTATTACAGTAGCCGGTGTTTTACGACCCAAGTTTCCTATTTTTTTAATAATTCCGCTAAGTTTCGTGCTGGTTTTTCCAAGGACAGAGTTACCATTGGTGAATAAAAATTGGCTATAGATAAGTATTTTGTAATAATTATATATTGAATTAATATATTTTACTCTACTCTTTCTTAGCTGTTGCAAATCTTCATTAAAAATTGCAATAAATAATTTCATCAGCGGGGGTTGAATCCGGGTTACTGTAAAATTTATAGTGATTAGCCCCAGAGCTACCACATTTCTTCACATTAGGTTGCTACAGCTGTTTTGCTTTGAATATTCCAGGGTACCTGGTGGGGTCGAGCCCAGGTCTGCCGGATGGCTGGTGGTTCCGCTTCCTGTACCGCTCGCTGCTGAACGGGCTGGGGCTCGGTGTATCGCTGGCGGGCGCTTCGCTGTTCGCGCGCACCAGCCTCGCCATCTGGCTCACCATGCTGGTCTGCCTCGCCAGCGCCTTCCTCAGCTTCTTCCTCACCAGCCCGGCGCAGGTACATAAGCTACTAGCGGCGGTAACAGCTTCTATCTGGCTCACCATGCTGGTCTATCTTTCTAGCGCCTTCCTAATCTTCTTCGTTACCAGCCCGGTGCAGGTACGTGAGTTACTAGCGGCGGTAACAGCTTTTCTATCTGGCTCACCATGCTGGTCTACCTGTCTAGCATCTTCCTAAGCTTCTTCGTTACCAGCCCGGCGCAGGTACGTGAGTTACTAGCGGCGGTAATAGCTTTTTTATCTGGCTCACCATGCTGGTCTACCTCTCCAATGCCTTCGTCAGTTTCTTCCTTACCAGCCCAGCGCAGATACGTGAGCTGATAGCGGCGGTAAGAGTTTTCCTATGTGGCTCACTATGCTGATCTGCTAGCGCTTTCCTCAACTTATTACTCACCAGCCCGGCGCGAATACGTGAGTTCATCATGCTGGTTTTCTTCACCAGCGCGTTGCTTAGCTTCTTCCTCTCCAGCTCGGCACAGGTACATGAGATTTTCTATCTGGCTCACCATGCTGGTCTGCCTCCAGCATTTTCCTCAACTGCTTCCTCACCAGCCCGGCGCAGGTACATTTGCTACTAGCGGCTGAAACAGCCTCGCCATCTGGTCTACAATCGGCACAAAGTACCCGCTTGAAATAGTAGCATAATTCAGCTGGGTTTATCTTTATATAAATAAAGGAGGCCAAATGAGCCGACAGTCCACTTGATGGTCCCGAAGTGAATGCAGTGGCCAACAGACACCTACTTATTATTTTCGATTAATTAGTCTACCCTGTGTATTAAGATAGAATGTCTTGCTACCAGTAAAAGGAGTCACGTTCTTATCACTTACCATACAAAACAGCAGCATAATTTCGTAGTGGCTACGTAAGTGCATCTGCTACCCCATATCATTCCGTGGATGTCATAAAGAGGCCACAGTGACTAATGAGACAGGAGATGGGCAGCATTTTCCTTATTACAACTCAAAATTATAAAAAACTATAGTTGCAACTATGGCAATATCTCCTCCCCACCACCCGCTATAAAGCAATCTATGGAGGAACCTTCTTTAACATGGAGAAACGTCTACACATACCCGCCTTGCGGGCAAGGACGGGTTATGCCGGGATCGCTGACTAAAATTCCATGGTGTTCCGCCTTCGACGCATATTCGCTGGCCACAAGAACGCTTTCGTACACATCCGTGGTTCCACCGGTGTCGGTTTACCCATGGCGATCCTTCCTCGGTAGGAATATTCCTCTCCATCTTCTCAGGCAAGCGCATGAGAACACATGGCGCGTCAATCCGACAGCCAAGCGTGATATTTATGTCAAATATCCTCACTATAAGACAATCTATGCGGGAGGCTTATAATAATAATAATAATAATAATTTTATTTCAGATACAAGCTCCATAATTTTTTAGTAATAAATAATATAAACTTAAAATTAATGTTAATAAATATATTAATAAATATAATGTTAATAAATATATAAAATATTATGTTCAACAGTAGACTTGTTAGGACATAATAAATGAAATAAGTACTTCATCTAGCATATCACATTCCAGATCGAGAAGCCGGACACGAATCAGCTGGTGAACGTGACTCACTTCAACTACACCGGGCTGAGTTCGGAGACGCTGTATTCAAACCTGTACTCGCAGTACGGACGCGACTACACCACCACCGACGGCGAGTGGGTCGACTTCGCTTCGGTTTTCGGTGTTCTGTTCACTGGAGTGACCGGCGTCATGGCCGGCGCTAATATGAGTGGTGAGGTGTTTGTGTCTGTGTGTTTTATACAGTTTTTTTTAAATAATATACGCTGCAGCTATATTATGGTTCTTGCATGAATGGGTCGGCTCGGCCGGGCGGGACCGCGCTCTCACAGAATACTAGCTTAAAACGCTGCTGTGTTTTGTATGGTGAGTGTAGAGAACCGGAGACCCTTTTTACTGGAAACGAGGTATTCCATCTTAGTCCTCAAAGGTGACAACGCATCTGCGTTTTGTTAAATTTAGATGTCTATGGGCCAAGCATCCATTTACCATCTATGGACTATGTGCTTGTTTGTCACCCTTATCCTATAAAAAAAAACTTGCGATCCACCTGATGGTAAGTGGTTTATACAGCCCATGGACACCTGCAACAAAATTCAAATTAAGAACTAAGAAAGAATGCCTTGTTTACAGTAAAAAGGTCTCCGGTTCTCTACACTTATTATGCAAAAAACAGTAGCATTAAACTGCTATTTTAGGCATGTATTCTGTGAGATTGTACCCCTTCCCCGGTAGAGTCAACCCATTCAAATTACAACCATAATATCACTGCAGCACAGCGTGGCTCTATCATGTTTAAACATCTAAGTCAGTCTTTCTTAAAGTGGGCGATAACGCCCCCCTTGTGGGCGCTAAGGGGCCGAGAAGAAAATAAGGGCGTTGGCGTGGTTTAGGGGGGGGGGGGGGTGATGGTTGATTTGTAATTTCATTTAGTTTAGATACTTTATATTTTAAAATTTACTAAAATAAAATCTACCTATTACTCATTATCGAATAATTAGTTTATATTTCTGCTCTGTATAATGAAGTTGTATATAAATATACTATACTAGAAATACTTAACATAGATTTCGTAGGATAGCCCCTACGCTGTATGCAATCAAGTTGTAACAAGTTTTTGTTAAATAACGCTATTGGTGCAATCCAATAACAATCGGCTGGTTCATCGATATTTGTCTTAACTTGCTCAGTACGATTGAGCGTCGAAAGAGATAAACTAGTTTGTGCGTGTTTGTCTTATTTCTATCGGTGCGTGATGTATTCAAATCGTTTATAAAAACTCGTAATATTTTTTATATTTTCATTAGTGGTTTCGCGCGCAATCTTTAAACAAGTATTTAAGTTCAAGACTTTATTTACATATTTGTAAAATCAAAGATGAAGTCTTTAAGACTTCAAGATCATTTGAATAAAATGTATCGAGATAAGAAGGACAAAAATGTAGCCTATTTTTAAAACCTGGAAAAGAAGCATAATACTCATCCCAGTGTATCAAAACTTTTTTCGGTGGCTGCTAAGCAAGACGTTGACGGACTTCGAGCTTCATACAATATCTCTTTGTAAATTGCTCAAACAGGTAAACCACACACCATCGGAGAAACGTTAATTTTGCCGGCAATAAAAGAAGTTATAATCACTGTGCTCCATCAATCGGCGGCAGATATAATTCAAAAAATTTTCTGTCAAAAGACGAATTGATGAAATGGCTGAAAATATTAAGTCATTGTGCAGTCATCTGAAGACTAATCAATTTTCAATTCAATCAAATCAAGATTGTTGTTCAAATGTTACGAGGGTGGATTGAAAAGTACTCGGCCTCACCAAGAAAATAAACACATACTAAATGAGTTATATTTTTATTTTTCTACATAATCACCATCAAGTTCAATACACTTTTGCCACCTCCCCTTCCAAGCATTTAGACCGTTGAAAAAAAATGATTCTTCCTTAGAGTCAAAATATGCGTCTACAGCTGCTTTGACCTCGTCGTTTGTCGAAAATCTTTGACCTCCCAAGTGCTTTTTTAGGTTAGGGAACAGAAAGAAGTCTGATGGTGCCAGATCAGGTGAATACGGTGGATACGGTAACAGTTCAAAGCCACAGTTGTGAATTTCAGCCATTGACTGTACTGACGTGTGAACACGGGCGTTATCTTGATGAAACAGGACTTTTCTTCTGAGCATTCCTCGACGTTTTTCTTCTCGTAAACGACGTAGTAAGGTGCAGTAGTAATCAGAGTTTATAGTCTGACCCCTTTCAAGATAATCAATCATAATCACACCTTTCGAGTCCCAGAATACTGAAGCCATCACCTTATTTGCCGACAAAATCGACTTAGCCTTTTTAGGGGTGGTGAAAAAGGTCTTCTCCACTGTTTTGATTGTTGTTTTGTTTCCGGTGTACAGTAATGAACCCATGTTTCGTCCATAGTAACAAAACGATTCAAAAAATCATCTGCATCGGCTTCAAATAACTCCAAACAGTCGCGTGAAATAGTCAATCGCGTCCTTTTTTGTTCAACTGAAAGCAGTCGCGGAACCCACCTCGCAGACACCTTGTGGAAACCCAACTCGTTGATAATGATGTTTTGAGTTCGTTCATAAGAGATGCCTATAATATCGGCTATCTCTCTAATTTTTAATCTGCGGTCTCCCATTATTAAATCAAGTACTTTTTTTAATATTTTCGTCAGTAGTTGACGTCGAAGGCCTTCCAGAGCGGGGTTCATCTTTCACACTCTCTCTACCACGCTTAAATTCTGCTATCCATTTTTTGACGGATGAATATGACAGAGCACAATCGCCTAATGTACTGACCATGTCAACATGGATAGCTTTTGATGATAGCCCCTTCTTATATATACTTAATGACGGCACGCTGCTCGATTTGCTCCATTCGCGGAAATTATGTCCGATTACTTTGTTAATAAATTTATAAAATCACAACTAATTATCGCACACGTTTCGAACTTCACACAATGAACTAGTCTGAACTGAACTAAATAATGTGGGTAGATTTGATTTTTAGAATTGCATGGATCTGTGTTAGGCCGAGTACTTTTCAATCCACCCTCGTAATAAAGAATGTCTTGTTTACAATAAAAAGGTCTCCGGGTCTCTACACTTATTGTGCAAAAAACAGTAGCATTAAACTGCTATTTTAGGCATGTATTCTGTGAGATTGTACCCCTTCCCGGTAGTCAACCCATTCAAATTACAACCATAATATCACTGCAGCACAGCGTGGCTCTATCATGTTTAAACATCTAAGTCAGTCTTTCTTAAAGTGGGCGATAACACCCCCTTGTGGGCGCTAAGGGGCCGAGAAGAAAATAAGGGCGTTGGCGTGGTTTAGGGGGGGGCGATGGTTGATTTGTAATTTCATTTAGTTTAGATACTTTATATTTTAAAATTTACTAAAATAAAATCTACCTATTACACATTATCGAATAATTAGTTTATACTTCTGCTCTGTATAATGAAGTTGTATATAAACTAGAAATACTTAACATAGATTTCATAGGATAGCCCGTACGCTGTAAGCAATCAAGTTGTAACAAGTTTTTGTTAAATAACGCTATTGGTGCAATCCAATAACAATCGGCTAGTTCATCGATATTTGTCTTAAGTTGCTCAGTACGATTGAGCGTCGAAAGAGATAAACTAGTTTGTGCGTGTTTGTCTTATTTCTATCGGTGCGTGCTGTATTCAAATCCTATTTAAAAGCTCGTAATATTTTTTATATTTTCATTAGTGGTTTCGCGCGCAATCTTTAAACAAGTATTTGAGTTCAAGACTTTATTTACATATTTGTAAAATCAAAGGGGAACGAATGAAGTCTTTAAGACTTCAAGATCATTTGAATAAAATGTATCGAGATAAGAAGGACAAAAATGTAGCCTATTTTTAAAACCTGGAAAAGAAGCATAATACTCAGCCCAGTGTATCAAAACTTTTTTCGGTGGCTGCTAAGCAAGACGTTGACGGACTTCGAGCTTCATACAATATCTCTTTGTAAATTGCTCAAACAGGTAAACCACACACCATCGGAGAAACGTTAATTTTGCCGGCAATAAAAAAAGTTATAATTACTGTGCTCCATCAACCGGCGGCAGACATAATTCGAAAAATTCCTTTGAGCAATAGTTCTGTGCAAAGACGAATTGGAGAAATGGCTGAAAATATTAAGTCATTGTGCAGTCATCTGAAGACTAATCAATTTTCAATTCAATATCAATACCAACTAATGAAGGATTGTTGTTCAAATGTTATGTTGTCCAAAAATGCGTAAGCTGATCATGAATAATTTTTTCAAATATTTTTCAACGCTAAGAATTGAGGTTAAGAAATCTATGTTAAGAATTGATAGTAGTGCAATTAGACGATAATTATTACACCTTTTTTTTAATAATGGATATAATACAGCTTATTACAAATTGTTTAGAAATATTCATTTATTACATACTTCTTATACAGATTATTTTAAATTTATTATTAATATGAATGAATTTAAAATAGAGTTAGTCTCGAGTTATATTATATTTATTAATAATAAATAGTAATTTATTATTAATAAATATAATATAACTCGAGGCCTTGGATTTGTGTTTATGGACTATCTACTTTGTAAAAAATTGTACCCTGTGTCTATCTACCTACTAAAAAGTGTGGTTTTGAAAAGAATAGGTCTAGAGATAATAGATAATAACTCTAGCAGCGAATTTTTAAACGATATTTTTATTTACAGGAGAGTTGAAAAACCCGTCACGCAGCATCCCTGTGGGCACTCTAACGGCGTTACTGTTCACGGCACTGTCGTACGCGGCGCTGAGCATCCTCACAGCGGCGACGTGTTCACGGGAGCTGCTACAGAACAATTACGTTTATCTGCTGCCCATCAATATCTGGCCACCGTTTATTGCTGTTGGTGAGTTATTACACATAACTCCCTTTTTGTCGTTTCTACAAAAAAAAAATTGTCAAAATAATATTTTGTTGGATGTGGCAAGAATTATTTATCATAGTTATTAAAAATATTAAATCATACAAACATATATATTAATGTGTGATGAGAAAACTGTGTACACCTTTCAAAGCAAAGTTATCACCTATCAAAGTTAATATGGAGGAGAAGTGAAAAAAGCTAAAATTTATTTATATGTCTTGCAAATACATTAAATTAAATAAAACATAATAGTTTGTCGTTTGTTTATGTTCATACCATGAAGGTTAGAGAACAGGAGAACGATCGCCGTGGAAAATAGTGTTCCAGAAATATGGACACCATAAATAAGGCGCTGCGATCACTATGTTCGCTCAATAAAAGTCATTTTCAGTCTATTTTTCCGATAAGATGCTAAATCGCTTGCACATCCACGCACAATAAAATATTTCTCCATTTTTTAATGTTTCTTTTTGTCAAAAATTACAAAATTACGGAGCATGAAAATTTTCTCACAATGCCGCGAAGATAATTTGTACATTATTCAACTAACTTCACCTACTTGTACTCATAAACAACTAACTTCGCAGTCACTACTCACCGACGTCAGCGCCTTTATACATTCTACAATTTTCAAGGACAGGCGGACTATGCTTTCCTGTTCTGTAACCTCCATGTCATGTCAAACACAACAGTCTGTGGTTAAATAGTAGCACAGAGTAGAAATAGACGCCAAATAACTATAAAATGTGGTTTAAAATGTTCAATAGTCCAGACTATTCTATATAGTCATATATAGAATAGTCTATCTAGTATAGAATAGTCATACAGTATACTTGTATGTAAAGAAAAAAAAATAAAATTTATACATATATTTTCTATACTAGATTACATGTTAATTAGCAGTTGAAAGTGAAATATAACTTGCTTAATACACTGCACGAGTTTAAATGATTATAAGTATGTAGTTTTTGTTCAAAAAGTGCATCCACTAATAAAACTAGTCTAGTAATCGATTAAAGTACATTGTTCCATACCGTTACTTGTTATTGTATTGTCCCTGGCGTGACCTGTGAGCAGGCGTAGACTTTTTTATTTCGTATACTTTGTTTTTTGAACTAGTGGTAAATTAAAAAATTATTTTCAATTAGAATTACATAATAATAATAATCTATTATTTAAATAAAAGTACAAGAATAAGGTGAAGACTGATCCCCAAACTAGATGAGTCTGTATCTTAGGGATCTGGGGCCTCTCCCAGTGTTGTGACAACAGTATTTAATTAAGTAACTATTAATATTTAATTAATAATTAAGTAAGTACTAAGCTTATCATTATTAAGTAACTAAATAGCTATTTAAATGGATTTATTTACAACTAAACATGACTAACTTAAAGCGACTAAAGTAATTTATATTTTATATAATCATAGGTATATTAAAATTAGTTTGTAAACTGTAATTTGTTATAATATAATTATATATATATATATATAATGTGTGTGTGTGTAAAATAAATATAGAATATATTATTATATAATTTCATATAGAATATATGTTTTATTCATTATAACCTATAATGAATAAATAATTGTTTTAAACAAAAAATGCTATTTATAATTTTAAAATATATTAATTATATATTTTAAAATATATTTAGAATATATTTTCTAAACATGCAATCTATCTTGAATAAAAATATTCTTTATATAGACCACACTCTCACAGAATACCAGCGTAAAATAGCAGCTTAATACTGCTGTGTTTCGTGTGGTGAGTGTAGAGATCCGGAGACCCTTTTTTACTGGAAACGAGGCATTCCGTCTTAGTCCTCAGGGGTGACAACGCATCTGCGTTTTGATTCTTAATCGTGGATAAATGTAGATGTCTATGAGCCACAGCGTATCTACTGACCATCAGACGGACTGTGTGCTCGTTTGTCACCCTTATACTATAAAAAAATACATCCCAAAAACCCTAACCGACGACAGGGAGACGTCTATGGAAACAAAAAATTGCCGTGGTCCGTACGTGCTTCGTGCTTCGTGTTTCTTTGTCTCGTATATCTCGACAATAATCGTTATCATCTCCAAATGAGTTTATTCGACGCTTAACCTTTAAGTACCGACGTGTGGTCTGACAGACACTTTGAGAGTTTGAAAAGTCTAGTTACATTTGTTAACGACGGTGTATCCCCCCGCGCTCCTCTCTACCCCTCGGAGAGTTTGTGCAGAGTGGCTGTGTGGGCATGTGCGATTTCCGTAAGTTTTGATAATTTTTAACCCGTAAGTTGCGATCACAAGATCGCGAGTGGTCTGTCGGACCACTCGTCTGTACTTATGTAACTTTTTATGGCACGACTTTTGTCAGATTATATCATTTTTCTCAGTTATTTTCATACAATTATAAAAATAGACCAGCCGAGTACTTATGGCATGCAACGGGCAGCCATAATCTCTAGTCGTTCTACAAATACAGCGGGTTCTGTATATACATCTTCCAAGAAAATTGCGCTTGTGAAAAATTAGAGATCTTGGGCCAGATGCACCAAAAAATGTAAGAACATGAATCAGAGGGAAATCAAACATGAAAGCTGTCACACCTATCCTTCAAAATTAAAGTGCGAGACTGCTTATGTGTGACTACAATGCAGCACGCCTGTATGCAAAGACTGAACTGTTTGTAAACTTTCGTAATTCCTATGGTTCAATGCCTTTTGATTTGCAAGAAGAATGTTGATTTTTTGTATAATTTTTGTTTTTATTGTAAGTATCTATTTTTAGTAACTACTTAGGGAATCTGTTCTTACTGAATTACATACATATTTCCTCTTTACTTTTATAGGTATGTTGATGGCCACATTCTCCGCGGGGCTGTCCAATCTGATTGGTGCGTCTAGGGTGCTAGAAGCTTTGGCTAAAGATAATATATATGGTGAGTACATTTTCAATACTCTTACACCTTACAAGACCGTGTAGTGGCGGTGCGAGAATATCCACTACCCCATATCGTCCCGTTGGTGTCGTAAGTTGCCACGAAGGGAAAATGAAATGGAAAGGGAGATAGGCAGCAGCATCTTCCTGATAAAATAAAATTATAAAAAACTGCAGTTGCTAACCCAAGCGTGGCAAATATGGCAATGTCCTCCCTATGAGGCAGTTAAGTTTTATGAGTTTTAATGGATGGTTGGATGATCGTATGAGAGAGATGAGATTAATAAAAAAGTTGTAATAAATATTAAATTACTTTTAATAATAAGTAAAAACCAACGTCATAGAACGAAGTGGAAAATCCATCATGGATTATCTTGTGCCACTTCTACAATACGAAATGATTGCTTACTCAACCCTTAGTTATAATACATGCAATAAAGGAAAAACTTGTAAATTTCTTTGCTTTTCAGGGTTTCTTCTCAGACCAATGGCCTCGCACAACGACAACCCGGTTATGGCTGTATTAGCTTCCTGGATCTTAGTTCAGATTGGCATTATGGCCGGATCTCTAAATACGATTGCTCAGGTGAGTAGTTCATTTATTTTGATCTGACCGATTCTAAGAAAACAGAATCCAGTTTCTGCTAAGGTTATAGACTCCTGCATCTTTTGAGGCATACAAACGCTTGGCAGATGGTAGAAATTAGTTGGCCATTTGTATATGGAATATATATTCTAATTATTACATATGGCCAATTAATTTTACTAATCCAGTGATTAATATTTTTTTAAAGAATAACGGTGACAAACGCACACAGTCCACCTCATGGTAAGTGGATGCTGTGGCCCATAGACATCTACATTTATCCTCGAATAAGAATCAAAAGCGTGGTCCTTCCCCGGTCGTGCCGACCCATTCGTGCTATAATCATAATATAGCTGCAGTGTAGCTCTACCACGTATGGAAAAATTATATTCATACTAATCGGATTTTATTATGACTTCAAACCTGTTCTGCATAAATTGGTCTAAAATTAACGATCAAAAGCGAGACAAACACGTGCAGTTTCGTTGTCACTTGGAAGAGAAGGCCAAATTGGCCTCTAAAAAGCTTGGCGTGCTCAGCAGAGCGGGACAGTATTTCATGCCGGCACACCGCCTGCAACTTTACAAGGCGCAGGTTCGGCCGCACATGGAATACTGTTCCCATCTCTGGGCTGGAGCTCCCCAGTGCCAGCTCCTTCCACTTGATCGCATCCAGCGCAGAGCGGTTCGAATTGTCGACGACCGAGTGCTTTCTGATCGGCTCGATTCACTGGCGCTGCGAACAGATGTTGCATTTTGTTACGCATATACCACGGGGAGTTCTCTGAGGAATTGTTCGGATTACCAGCCGCCAAATTTCGTGAACGCACTACGCAGCAAACGTCCCGATACCATCCACACCATCGAGGTGATGCTTGGCGGTCCACCACTGTAGTGTTTCACAAGGAGTTTTCTTCCGCGTACAACCTCTCAGTGGAATAGTTTACCACCGGCAATTTTTCCGGACCGATACGACCTGGGGTCCTTCAAGAAAAGAGCTTACTCCTTTCTAAAGGGCCGGCAACGCACCTGCAATTCCGGTTGCGGTTGTTCATGGGCGGCGGTAGTCACTTAACATCAGGTGAACCGCATGCTCGTTTGCCCTCTCTTATATAAAAAAAAACAAACACAGAGCCCCTAATATTATGTATCAAAATGTATATTTTTGTTACCCCTGCAGAGAAAGACGAAATGCCTCCCTACATATAAACAAATAATTAATAAGCCAGACAGTAATTATAGCCTGTGAGGCATTCCATCTTAGTCCTCGCAGGTGACAAAGCATCTGTAGAATGTAGAATTTGTTTGAAGACAACTGCAGGTGCCCATAGTTTACAGTAGCCACTTAACACCAGGTGGACTGTAAGTTCGGTTTGTAACTTCAGTTTTAAAACGAATAAACAGTTTCTTGTTTTTGTCACTCAATTATCTGTGCAAGCGTGGTTCTTCCCCAGGCGAGCCAATCCGTTCGTGCGGCAGCCGTCATACAGTTGTTGCGTGTGCGTCTTGTTTGACTTGGTTTATCTAGGTTACTATGAGGTCTCAACAACCAACACCTCACTCTGTACGTGACCATGAATCCTGCAAGAGAACCTAAACATAGGGAATGTAAAATAATAAAATTAAACGCGATAATATCCATTGAATAAAACTATTTATATGGATTTTATCGCGTTAAATTAATTTATTTTTAATTCCCGACGAAGTTTGTTTTTAAAGCACCCGAACGCTTTACATTTTTACACCCATGTTCACGGGGAGGGCGACACCCCCGTGACCATGGGTGCTGTAAAGCGCCCGAAACGTCGGGAATTAAAAATAAGTTAGAAATAAATAAATTAAACGCGATAAAATAATCGTATAAATAGTTTTATTTAATGTGTTGTGATCACGTAAATTTAAGAAATCATTTTGCAATAATATCCGTAAACATTGGTTCCATTCAATGTGTAGTGTGTATGAGGTAAAATCTCAACATTGGTTTATAATTTTCAGGTGAACTCTGTGCTTTTCATGACAAGTTACTTCGCTATTAACTTGGCTTGCTTGGGCCTCGATCTCGCTTCAGCTCCTAATTTCAGGTAATTTTGCATTTTCCATAAACTTATACCTGAAGATTCGCTTGCATACAATAAAACATGTAGTTATTCAGAATAGGCAAGTGTTGTCAGGATTTTATAAAGCTAAAAGATAGTAAATAACATTCTAAGTATGTAAATTAATCTTCCGTCAATCCAAAATGGAAGCAGCCACCCCCTGCTCTCCGTACCTATTTGAGAAATTTTATTACTAAAAAAGTTGTTTATATTATTGCGAACTAGTAATGAGTAAAATATTCTTGAGCGCCTTAGACATTAAATTTAAATTGTACAAGAACTAATGAAAACCAATTGGTGGAGAATTAAATTATAGTAGAGAGGCACTAACTTGCAAGCACAATATCAATATAATAATAGCTATTTGTTATTTTTATTAATGACATTGCTTTATGTTTTGAACATGCCAGTCTTATTATACGCAAGCTATTTACAAACTAAACCGAAAGAGTCTCACAGAAAAATTTAAAGAAATAATTATGTTAACTTTGGACTCTAGGTATATTTACGAAAATTTAATTTATGTTCACAAAAATAATAGTAGTATTAGTAAAGAATGTGATATACTACTCTGTGTAAAAAGTATCGGGAATATGTCAATAAAAAGACCCGCGTAAAAGAGGTCGTTCTAATTTTTTTACTGCATGTTGGACAGCACTGTACTGATTTAGCGCGCAAAGTTTGAGCGGGATCTGTCATTTAATTTGTTTTAAACTACACTTTTTGTTGGTCATACTTTTGAGTTCTCGGCGATTTTTACAATGGAAAATATTGTTGAACAAAGAGTGTGCCTTAAATTTTGTGTTTCGAATGATATTTCATGTGGTGAATCACTAAAAATGTTGCGAAATACCTACGGCGAATCGTGTATATCGATAACAAGGGCTTATGAATGGTATAAGGCTTTTAAAGAAGGCCGAGAAGTAGTAGTAGACTTGCCTCGTTCTGGTAGACCTTCAACCGCTACGACCAAGGAAAACATCGACAAAATCAAGAAGCTAGTGCTCGAAAATTGACGTATGAGTCTGAGAGAGTTGGCTAGTGAGGTGAACATATCTTTTAAGTCCGTCCACAACATTCTCATTGACATTTTAGGCATGAAACGCGTCGCCGCTCGACTAGTTCCAAAAGAGCTCAATTTTGTTCAAAGAGCGCAGCGAAAGCATGTCGCTGAAGACATGGTTTCCCGAGCTTCTACGGATCCGACCCTTATGAAACGTATAATAACTGGCGACGAGACATGGGTTTATGAGTACGACATGCAAACAAGCCAACAGTCTTCAGAATGGCGTCTCGAAAACGAGCCGAAACCCAAAAAAAATCGCGGCAAAGTCGCTTCAAAATCAAGGTGATGCTGACAGTTTTTTTTGACTACCGTGGTGTGGTTCACTCCGAATTCCTTCCAAAGGGAGAAACAGTGAATAAAGAATATTATTTAGGCGCCATGAAGCGTTTGCGTGAGAGTATCCGCCGAAAACGTCCAGATTTGTGGCAACACAACTCATGGATGCTGCACCATGATAATGCACCATCACACACAGCCATTATAGTGAAAGAGTTTTTAGCGAAATATTCAACAAAAGTTCTCGACCAAGCACCGTATTCACCTGATATGGCTCCGTCTGACTTTTTTTATTTCCCAAGTTAAAATTATCACTTCGAGGAAAACGTTTTGAGTCGATAGAAGCCATAACAAAAAATTCGCTGAATGAGCTAAAGGCCATACCGCAAATAGCCTATGAAAAATGTATGGAAGACTGGGTGAAGCGTTGGAGATGTTGTATTGCAAGCGATGGGGCCTACTTTGAAGGCGATAAAATAAATTTAGATGAATAATTTGTATTTTTTGTTTTATTGACAAATTCCCGATATTTAGTACACAGAAGGTACACTCTGTAAACTCTAGGAACAAACACAAGCTAGTACAAACACAAGTAGAACAAACACAAGGTAGTTTCTCAACTCCACAGAGTCAGTAATTCATTCAACGTGGTAGAGCTATGCCGTAGCTATATTGTGGTTGCAGCACGAATGTGTTTCGGCTCGACCGGGGAAGGACCACGTTTTCACAGAATACCAGCGTAAAATAGCAGCTTAATACTGCTCGGTTTCGTGTGGTGAGTGTAGAGAACCGGAGAGCCTTTTTGCTGAAAACGTGGCATTGCATCTCAGTCCTCAGAGGTGACAACACATCTATTTTTTTACGGGGGGAACTTTTCTGCGTTTTGATTCTTAATCGAGAATAAGTGTAGATGTCTATGCATCCACTTAGCATCAGGTGGACTGTGTGCTCATTTCTTACCCATATTCTATTTAAAAGAAAATACTCGTATGTATCAACACAATCAAAACCGCGAGTGAATTTTAGCAAGACAATAATTGGTACCTTACCCTTATTGGATGGACAAAAATATCATCAGTAATATTTAAGAGAGCTGATGTTCAAGCAGTTATCGGGCGACGGTGGAGTACTGTCGCTTGTCACCTTTATTCTATATTATGACAAAAGTGGGTGGTGTTGTGCGGCAGGCCGACGTTCAAGCAGTTCTCGTGGGCGACGGCGGGCGCGGGGCTGGTGGGGTGCGCGGCGCTGGTGTTCGCGCTGCGACCCGCGTACGCGAGCGGCGCCGCGCTGGCTTGCTGCGCGCTGGTAGTGGCGCTGCACGTGCTGTCGCCCGCCGCCGCCGACCCCACCTGGGGCAGCCTGGGCCAGGCGCTCATCTTCCACCAGGTATTGCTGTATTGCTGTACTGCTGCGCGCTGGTGCTGGTGCTGCACGTGCTGTTGCCCGCCGCCGCCGACCCCACCTGGGGCAGCCTGGGCCAGGCGCTCATCTTCCATACTCCCTACTATATACATAGACTATGATACTACCCCATATTATCCCGTGGATGTCGTAAAAGGCGACAGACAGAAACAAATCAGTAATCAGTAATAACGACTAAAAATAAACATTTGCCTTGCCTTACAAGGCAAGTAGGCCTAAGTCGAGCAGTGGATTTTAATAGGCTTGTACACAGTAGTGACATACATTTTGCTGAATTGAAACTTTGCACCTGTGTCATTGTCTACGCTAGGCCGCTACCAAGTAGGAAATATTTTTAAGCTATTGCATAGCTTCTATCGCGGGCCTTGAGCGCGGGGACCGAATCCAGAAATTCCGTAACGAAAAAAACCTCACGCTCCCCACTCCGACGGGCACGGAGGTGTGGCGTTGAAAGCCGTGCATCGTCTAACGTCGTTTCAGTTCGGCAGACTTCGGCACTCTCGAGGTGTTTGTGTGCGTGCGACTAGACGTATGCGTGTACACTAGCTGCTAACTCAATGATAAAAATTCCTGAATAACCTACGTGTATTGTAAGATATTAAAAATATTTTAAACAATATTAACTTCTCATTTATTCAATAAGAGAAAAAAATTGTTTTCTTATCGGTCACCACGCTCAAAAAGTGTAACTTGATTTAATATCAAAGACTTAACTGCATAAATAAAATAAATAAATGATTATAATTGCATAAGTTGATAAAAAATGGTATGCAATAGCTTTACCGCGGCAGTCACCGAGTGCCACACGTATTTTTTTTTATAGAAGAGGACGCAAACGAGTATACGGTTTACGTGATGTTAATTGACTACCGCAACCTATGACCAACCGCAACACCAGGAGAATTGCAGGTGCGTTGCCGACCCTTTAGAAAGGAGTAAGCTCTTTTCTTGAAGTTCTCCAGGTCGTATCGGTCCGGAAAAATCACCGGTGGTAAATTATTCCACAGAGAGGTCGTACGCGGAAGTAAACTTAAAACTTAACTTAAAACTAAAATTATTGTATGGCCAGTAACAATATCCTAATCTGTAAAATTGTTATTCTGAATACAACATCAGTGACATTCGTAATTTTAATTACTGAACCCTATAGGCACATTCGGCACCTGTTGTAAGTCATATTGCGAGACTATTAGGCGTAAGTAACTAGAACATTATTAGCCATGACTTCCGTACAGGCTGTAACGATAATGGTAGACTATGCTTATATCCATATGGTAGATATGAACCTATAAATTAGTTTATTTTTTTATGTTTTGACCTCATGCTCTTATCTATACATATTAAATCTCAAAATATGTTTGATCGATCACCATGAAAATTTGTATATATTTATAAAATTGGTATGTTTTTTCAACGGAGGAGGTTGAGATTTATAATCAAAAAAAAAAAAAAATTGAAAAGAAAATTAGAACCAAGCAAAATTTGAAATTCATCATCATCATTACAGCCCTTCACAAGTCCACTGCTGAACATAGGCCTCCCCCAAGTAATGCCACAAAGCACGGTCCTGAGCCACCTGCATCCATCGACTTCCTGCATGTCTTACCAGGTCGTCACTCCATCTAGTGGGGGGTCGCCCTACACTACGCCTACCGGTACGAGGCTGCCACTCGAGAACCTTTCTTCCCCATCGGTTATCGGTTCTTCGAGCTATATGGCCGGCCCATTGCCACTTCAGCTTACTAATCCGTTGGGCTATGTCGATCACTCTGGTTTTACTGCGGATATCCTCATTTCTGAGTCTATCACGCAGAGAAACTCCGAGCATAGCCCTCTCCATAGCTCGCTGAGCGACCTTAAGCGTCCTCATTCGGCCAGCAGTGAAGGACCACGTCTCAGATCCGTAAGTCATCACTGGCAACACGCACTGGTTGTACAATCTAGTTTTTAGAGATTGAGGTATACCTGACGAAAAGATATGTCGTAATTTCCCGAACGCTGCCCAGCCGAGTTGAATCCGTCGATTGACCTCTCGGTCGAAGTTGGACTTACCTAGTCGGACTATTTGTCCCAGGTAAACGTACTCGTCAACAACTTCGAGCATAGTGCTCCCAACAACTACCGGCATAGGTGTGACATGGACATTAAACATGATCTTTGTTTTGTCCATGTTCATCTTAAGACCTATCCGTTGGGAGGCACTATTGAGGTCATTGAGCATAATGCTTAAGTCCTCCAGCGATTCTGCCATAATGACTATATCGTCGGCAAATCGAAGGTGAGTGATGTACTCGCCATTGATGTTAATACCGTATCCTTTCCAGTCCAGTAGCTTGAAAACGTCTTCCAACGCAGCGGTGAAGAGTTTCGGGGATATAACATCACCCTGTCTTACACCTCTCTGCAGTTGGATAGGTTTCGAACTCTGGTTCTGTACTCGGATAGCCATCGTAGCCCTACTGTACAAACACTTCAGCACTTCGATGTACCGACAGTCAACTTGGCACCGCTGAAGGGACTGTAGCACCGCCCAAATTTCGACGGAATCAAAGGCTTTCTCATAGTCCACATATGCCAGGCAAAGTGGCAGATTGTACTCTTCGGTCTTCTGTACAATCTGCCGCAGGGTATGTATGTGGTCTATGGTACTGAAGCCTTTTCGGAAACCGGCTTGTTCGGGAGGCTGGAAGTCGTCGAGTCTGCGTGCGAGACGATTCGTAATGACTCTCGAAAATAGCATGTAGACGCGGCTCAGAAGGGAAATCGGTCTGTAGTTCTTCAAGAGAGCGTTGTCGCCTTTCTTAAAGAACAAAACCACCGCGCTTCTGCTCCACGCCTCCGGAGTAGTGCCACCATGGAGGACGGAATTGAAGAGCTTCCGAAGGACTTCAAGTACCGGTTTTCCACCCGCTTTCAGAAGCTCCGCTGTAATTCCATCCTCGCCCGGGGCCTTGCCGTTTTTAAGGTGGTGGAGAGCCATTCTAATCTCGCTCAGACTGACGTCCGGGATATCATCGGAATAGTGTCGGATAAGACTTGCTCTTGGATCGTTACTCACACTTACGTGTGGCTCCAACGATGATGTGTACAGCTGCCCATAGAACCTCTCAATCTCACTCAAAATCTCAGGTGTCCCGGAAACGATGTTGCCACACTCAGTCTTCAGCTTTGACAGTTGGCTCTTTCTGGCAGACAGATCTCTGGCAAAGACTTTGGAGCCCTGGTTCCGCTCGATCGCTTCTTTAATACGAGAAGTATTAAAGTTGCGTAAGTCTCGCCGCATGCATTTGGAGATCTGTCTGTTCAGTTGCCTGTATGCTGTCAAATCTGTTGACGATTGCAGCCTCATCTCCCGTCTAACAGCCATGAGATTAAGAGTGTGATCGGAGAGTTTTTGTGTTCTTCTGCGGCGGGTCTTGCAGAACTTAGCTCCGACCGCATGGACAGTTTCCACGAGCTTGTCGTTCATATCGTCCACTGCATTGCAATCTTCTAGGCACTGGAAGCGGTTACGTAACTCGAGCTGAAAGGTTTCGGGATTCTGGATTAGAGCACGAGGGGGACGGAGCGTTGACTTCATTAGACGAGACCTCTCCAACTTAACGTTTAGGTTCAGTGTGCCTCTAACCATTCGGTGATCGCTGCCAGTTTTCACCCTTGCGATCACTGAGACATCACTGAACACTTGGCGTCTGGTCGTCATAATGAAGTCAATCTCATTTTTTGTCGAACCGTCGGGGCTCGACCAGGTCCACTTCCTGTGGGGCCGCTTCTGGAAGAAAGAGTTCATCATAAAGAGTCCCTCTTTCTCCATAAAGTCGGCCAGCTGCTGGCCCCTTCGGTTCCGTTGCCCTACTCCAAATTTCCCTACCTTCAGCTCACCGCTTTCTCTTGTGCCTAGTTTTGCGTTGAAGTCTCCCATCAACACCGTGTAGTGGGTTTTGGAGGAATGTATGGCTCTGGAAATATCCTCATACATTTCCTCCACCTCCTCATCGGGATGTGCCGAGGTTGGTGCGTAAACCTGAATGACCTTCAGCGAATACCGTTTGGTGATTCTGAGTATCAGGTACGCGACCCTCGTCGACACACTCCCAATCTTTACAACGTTGTTGACGAGAGACTTGTGGACGATAAATCCGACACCTCCTTGGGACAGATGGTCGCCCTCCCGGTGATAGAACAAGTTGCCGGACTCGAGGATTGCCGTGTCCTCCCCCCTCTCTTCGGACCTCGGATAATCCAATAATATGCCAGCGCAACTTGTCTACCTCTTCTTCCAGCTCTAGTATCTTCTCGTCAGTCCTCAGGGTGCGTGCGTTATATGTTGCCAGGTCGAGTCGTCGTAGGTGGCAACCGAACCTCCACCGGAGATTCTTAGCACCCCCTGCCCCGCCGTTACCATGGTCGCCACCGTAGCCAGGAATAGCGGGACCGCCGGGGACTGGGGGCCGTCTGTTTGTGTATTTATTCATTGGGGGGTATTTGCCATAGTTGCCACGCTTGGCGAGCGGGTTGGCAACCGCAGTTTTTTATTACGTCACAGTTGTTATCAGGAAGATGCTGCTGCCCATCTCCTGCCTGTCTCCCTCTGTCGCCTTTTACGACACCCACGGGAAGATATGGGGTAGTGGATATTCTCAACCGCCACTACACGGCAAATTTGAAATTATTGATTAAATATGGTTTACTCGAGCGAAGTCGCGACGAACAGCTAGTTAAGTTAATAAAAATTGAATCAATATCAATTAAATTGTATACTTATTTGAAATACAAATTCTTATACCTAATTATATACGTGGTAGTGCCACGCTGCAGCTATATTATGGTTGTAGCGCGAATGGGTCGACTCGACCGCAGACCGACCACGATCTCACAGAATACCAGCGTAAAATATCAGCTTAATGCTGCCTTGTTTCGTACGGTGAGTGTAGAGATCAGGATACCCCTTTTTACTGGAAACGAGGCATTCCATCTTAGTCCCCAGGGGTGACAACGCATCTGCGTTTTGATTCGTAATCGAGGATATATGTAGATGTCTATAGGCCACAGCATCCACTTACTACCAGGTGGACCGTGGGCTCGTTTGTCACCCTTATTCTATAAAAAACATATTTACTGTTTGAATGCCATCGATGGGTAATTAATGTGGGCTGTGCATGGGTTGCAGGTGCGCAAGTACCTGCTGTTGCTAGACCCGCGGCGCGAGCACGTGAAGTTCTGGCGGCCGCAGATGCTGCTGCTGCTGGCCTCGCCGCGCCAGGCCGCGCCGCTCATCGACTTCGTCAACGATCAGAAGAAGGTGATCCTCCACTGCTGCATACTATATAGTTAGAGTGTTATTTCAAATAGACTAAAATCCGGTTGCCAAGCACGTTATTTAGTAGGTAATGTGCATTAAAATACGTATATGTACACGTACCAATTTTATAGAGCAACAGTTCTGTTTTATAGAGTGGAGTTGTTATTAACTTCATAAATAAACCATAGGTCAACACAAATAGCTCTGACAAATGTTCATATCCGGCTCGAAGGACTTAAAAAATGGTGTTTCCCTAACACTTTATATTAATTAATGCCAAATGATATGGACGGTAAATGTATGATAATAAATAAAACAGACTGGGCTGAGTGGTGATAATGCACTGATTTATTAATTGATTACATGATTGAATTTGCACGCGTATGACGAATAGTGCAGAAACTTCAGCTAAGTACACATACAAGATAAAACTGCATGTACATCTACGATAGCTCGTACACTTATTAACACTTAGCTTAAATTAAAAATAGAAAAAATGAAGTGTAAACACAAGAAAAAATGGTATTATGTAGTCTCTAAATAAGATTATTAAAAGGCTCTTAAAAGGATAAATCTTCTTCAAAAATAATGATACATACCACTAAAACATAAATGTGGAAGGGGGTCTAAGCTCGTTACAAACGACACGGTTTTCGGCTTTGTCGATAAAAGAGGAATTAAACAGGCGCCAATCTTCATAGCATTTCCAGAAACATTATACATTCCTATAGATGCTATGATTTAAGGTGAAACATGCGGTCTGCTCTCGGCTATTTTCCCGCGAGATGGTGCTGAAGTCAACATTTTTTAGTTTATCTGGGTTTTTGTGTAATTGGAACATTATTAAGTCGTAGAAGCAGCTATCGCGGTAATCGGCCATTTTACTTTATTGTATGAGGTCATACCGTATATTTCAACAGGGTCAACATATATTTTAGCGGGCTTCACTCGTGTTCGATTTTTTCTACTTAGCTAATAAGTAGGATTTCTCACGATATTCTCCGCCAATTAAGCGGTAAATCAGTACTTGAAATAGCAATTAACAATTTCATTGGTGCCAGCGGGGGTCGAACTTTTCAAGTAAATATTATAAATTTAATATAAAAGTTCAATTAAATAAATAAATAAAAAATGTACATGTTTGTAAGTAATAAAAAAAATGTTTTTTATTATACATATTTACATATTATATACATTATTATACGGTTATAGGGAGGTTTATTCGTCATCGGGCACGTGAGGGTCGGTCAGCTAGACGGCAGCGGAGATCCACTTGCCGCCGAGCAGAAGTACTGGCTCAAGTTGATCGATCACCTCAAGGTAAGTGCTGATTCAACTCATGTTTCATCATCAATAAGCAGGTATATTTCAAACTGGGTAAAATAAATAAGATGTATCAGCCAGAGAGGACAACTGCGTTTCGGCGAGAAAGAGCAAGACCGGCTTAACCGTCATGCGATTGTGTTGGTGGGAGCATCCACGCTCAGGAGGAAAATGGTTTGAGCGTGGATGCCCAGTGATTCTCCAGGATTGTCGATGCTGGAGGGTCCTGGGGTAGATTTTTACTAAACACTGCTTTCATGTTGGGGGAACAGAAGAAACACAGAAGTATAAATACTTCTACTTTACGCTGGTACTCCGCGAAGCCGTGGTACTACCCCGGTCGAGCCGACACATTCATGTAACAGCACAATCTGCTGCGTGGTTCTATGACGTATAATAAAATAGTTAATTAAATTGGACTTTCATTCTTCTATCCATTACTATCGCATAAAATACTTCTGCTAAAATGGGATTCCCTTTCTTAGGGTGTTTTTTATATTTTTAATTGTTATCAGAAAAATGCTGCTGTTCATCTCCCGTGTCTGCCCTCTGTTGCCTCATACACCCACTGGAAGATATGGGGGTTCTTGTACCGACACTATACTATGGAATGTAATTAGGATTAATTTTATATTACCTGCAGGTAAAAGCTTTCGTTGAGCTCTGCCTGGCGGAGTCAGTTCGTAGTGGAGCTGCCCAGTTGACAAGATTATCCGGTTTGGGCGCGATGAAGCCTGATACTGTGTTGCTTGGCTTCAGAGATGATCAGCCGCCCAAGGATTTCTTTAGAGAGTAAGTTTTACATCTCCCGGAAAATTCATTATTGGTATAGTACACCCCGATCGTGTAATCGTTGCGTGTGCTTTACCTGTCGACCACCCGCTATAAAGTGATGGTCCCGTCGTCATGATTTTATTTTATTTTATTGAATAAGGTACACAAACAGGCAGTAGTTATATAAAGATCTAAAATTAAGAGTATATTTGTGTTGATCTAAACTACAATCCGAAAAATTGTACACAGCATAATAATATAACTGCAGTAGAAACTTAGTCGTAGCAAAAATAAAACAGATAACAAATACATTAAATATTAAGAGAAACACGTAAATTTCTTTTAACTCTAACCAGGCTACTATGGAATATATGTAGATATACGTAACTACGCTTAATCTCGTCGTAATCACGGCACATTTTGACAACAGGGTTGAAAAAAGGAATTGTTATTCTTGTGTACATCTAACGTGAAAATTCTTTGAACACGTTGTCGTATACTGGAATTGAAGTTAATTAGCCTTAGTAACTCTGGGCACTCTATACGAGAATGCACAATCTTGTGCAAAAAAAACTTCCTTGGCAAATTGTCTCCTCAAAGATAATCGCTGGATATTAAAAAAAACTTTAATACTACTACTTTAGTCGAGAGTCGTGTGATGGTAGAGACGCAAGTGACCATATCTACCGCAAACACTGCGAAGAAAACAACAATGATTATCGTTTATAAAACATAATTAATCTTTTTTAAATATTATAAACTTATTTCTATAATTCATTTAATCTTAGATGTTGTTACTGTTATCTAAGTCTAGAAAAATGCGATTAAATTATTACTATCTGTTCTGTCCGCTGGCCTGTAAATGTGTGTATTAAGGGGATAGAGTAAGTCAGCTCAAATTCTAATTTCGTCTCCACTTGCCCGCGCGTCGTTTGCTATGTACCGACATGTTTGTAATCACTAATACTGTAAGTAGAAAGGTCGTTGGACACTTATTTCATTAGGTTTATCATATTTATGCCTGTTTCTTAACGCCAAGCCAGTCCCTTCTTATTTTTATTACGGTTATTTCCCATTTTAATTTTACGTCGTCCTGTTGCGTAATGTATATTCTGATCGTAAGCGACACAACCTCCCCCTTCAAAGGCCGAAGCGAAGTGACCGGGCGGCAGGAATCACGCTTCAAGAGGCCGATAGTTTAGGTAATTTCTTTTTTACAGTGAAAATAATGGTATTTAAAAAAAGTAAATAACGTAAGCACTGCTTTATAGTTAGTTCAGTTAGTATGAAAAGTTTCATGATCTTATTTAAGGCCGAATACGAAGAGAACTGGCGAAAATTAATGTATTTCTCTTGTCTAGAACTTTGACCTGAAGTAATTCTAAGCTTTAAAACATTTTTGTAGGTTTGTTCGGGTCCTTCACAAGGTCACCGTCATTTTAAAATTTTAAAATAAATGAATATACCAACAAATAAAAAAAATGTTAAGAAATGATATATAAAATTATTGTTCTTCCAAAACTCTGTGAATTTTAATTTAGGAAAAATTCTTTTACGTAAAAATGTTTGTATTGTGATTCCGAAGGTACCTGCTATCTTTATTTTCGATACAAAATATTATTTATTAACATAATTCGTTTTAATTAAAAACACCTAATAATAATATCGTATATTGCCAGATAAAAGTTTGCCGTAATAAATTACCAGGCGCTTCGACGTGTGACGTAAGATAACAACAGTTTTATACGCGTTTAAGTGTCTATAAATGTAAATATGGGTAGGAAAAGAAATAAATGTTACCTAAGTGGTAAAACAAAGAGAGTTTATCGCATGAACGCTGCTCGAATGTTGAATTTTGAGGTTAATACTTATATTTTTGTAAGGTAATAATAATGCATTTTTACTCATTTACATTAGCCAAACTGATCATTTATACTTTTCTAGTTTCAAGTGAGAAACACTAAAAATGTAAAATATCAAGACCCAGTCGGAAAAGAATGTACAGAGTAGTGCAAGCACAGAGACCGCAAATAATGTCAGTCAATGTATTGTCCGAAAGCATGGGGTAAAAGTACATAATTAAGAAAAACCGAAATACTTCGGATGTGAAGTGATTGACCAGTCGGAGTAGTCTTGTGAGAATTTACATACACAGTACCTATCCCCACTATGGGGCAATCACCGACTTTTTAGTTTTTTTCTTTATTATTTATGCAATTTGCATTACGGCATCTTGTAAGACTCACAAGAACAAACATTTTCAGTTATATGAGGTTCTTAACGTACGATGCACCAATTAAGAAAAAAATATCGTTATCAATTCAATAACTTTTCGAACAATATTTTATAACGAATAAAGTACAGAATTTATAATCTATAGGAACTAATATTATAAATAAGAAAAATTTATTTAAGAAGTAAGCAATGCTCTCTGTGTTGTTCATTACTCTGCATCTGAGCTAGCTCCGTCAAATATAATCAAAGCCCGTACGGCTTTGATTATAGGTATTATACATGTCTGTATAAACAAAGCGTAGGTACTGGCGGCGCGTGGTTTGCTGTGAAACGAGCAAGGTCATTCACGTCGTATTCGGCCTTAAAGTATTTTATGAATAACAGCGGTTTATTGTTTATTTTGGAGGTAACTTTGGTTTTTTTTTTCTATCGAGAAAATTTTACGAAATCGTGTTTTCGTCTAACATAATCCTTAACATTAATCCTCAACTTTACCATATATTTATTTCAAAATTAATGCTGCAATATTTTCGGCATAACGAAGGATCTTGCTAAGCCATTTGGGATTATATTTCCCCTTAACAGTAATACAAATGACCGAAACTGTTAATCATACAAGTTATCTTACCAGAAGTTTTCACTACTCTTATGGGTATGGTCTTATGGGTGGGTATGGTCCCTATTGAAATTCATTATCATCATCATCATCATTAAAGCCCTTCACAAGTCCACTGCTGAACATAGCCGTTCCCCAAGAAATGCCACAAAGCAATTTGAAATTCATTAATAAAATCCTAATTGTTTAAACAAATTCTCAACTTAAAATATGTACAAAATAAAGTTAAATTTTTTAACGAGCGATCAGGTGTGGATACTGATTTTTTTTATTTTCTATATTTTTAAGCGAAATGTATGCATATTGATATTTGAAATTTGCCTCCACAGCCCCCAATCGCCGTACAAAACGAATGATTTCGACCTGGAGACTGGCGAGCAGATATTCCCCACACGGCGCACGGCGAACACGCGTCCGTCGGCCGCGGAGTACGTGCGCATCGTGTCCGACGTGCTGTGCGTCAACAAGAACGTGTGCCTGTGCCGGCACTTCCACAAGCTCGACATGGCTGCTGTCGAACGGTCAGTTTTACTAGCGAGTTCGTTGTATATAGATAAGCCCCTTGTGTCATTAAGAGTGTGTGCTATGTAGCCATGTTTACAAGCTCGATATTGCCGTCGTTGAACGGTGAGTATTACGAACGAGTTCGCTGTATGTACAATACAATACAATAACTTTATTTCAGGCATCTGATGCCTCTGCTTGCCTCGTTGGTCCAGTGGTTGTAGTACTGCGACTGCTGATCATGAGGTCCTGGGTCCGAATCCCGGTTCGGTCCAAAAAAGTTAATTATTGAGTTTTTCCGTCAAGATTCTCAGTAATTTTAATACCCGACGTTTCGGGTGCTTTCCAGCACCCATGGTCACGGGGGACTGAGGTGACCATGTGACCATGGGTGCTGGAAAGCACCCGAAACGTCGGGTATTAAAATTAATATAAATAAAACGCGATAAAATCCGTAAAAGTAGTTTTAATCAATGTATAGTGTTCGCGTAAATATAAGAAATCATTATAGAACAAAATAATATTATGAAGGTATATGAAACAAAGACTTACACCTAGTTACTTAAATAATGTATCGTTTACTGTGGCCTTAAACTCAGCTAGAGACATAACATTAACATCTATTGACCCTCCGCACTTATTATATAGTTGGGAAATTCTGGAACCCGGTGAATTGGCTCCCAAAACTGTTTTGCGAAATGGACGAGAGAGAGATTTAATGGGCTTACGAGGCATTCGTGACGGAACTTTAAAATTAAATTTTATCAGGAGTGCAGGACAATGCAACTGATATCTTATTATCTTGAAAAAGAAGTATAGGTCAAGTACATCCCTGCGGTTGTCCAAGCTCTGCATCTTTAGGAAATCTAGTAGGTCCTTGTAGGAGCTAAATCTTTTATGCCAGAAGTGTGAGAACACCAAGTGTTTTACTAATCGTTTATGAATGCGTTCAATACGAAGTGTGTGAGTAGCATAATGTGGACGCCAGACCACACTTCCATACTCAAGGATCGATCTAACCAAGCTATTGTATAGCGCAATTTTTGAGGAATGGCGTTTGAATACTCTAGCGTTCCTGATAATAAAACCCAACATCTTGGACGCCCTGCCTATGATGTAGTCAATATGTGGGACAAATGTTATTTTATTATCCATGAGCACACCCAGATCCCTTACTACTGTCCTTTCTTCTAATTGGATCCCATTAATGGTGTAGATGGATGGAGTAGGATTTAATTTCCTAGTGAATTTAATGTGAACACATTTATTGATATTGAGCTCCATTCCATTCGTCTGACACCATTTCACTAGCGCGTCAAGATCTTTTTGTAAATGCAAAACATCATCTAGTGTTTCAATTACTTTCCATAGTTTTAGGTCATCTGCGAACATCGAAGAGGACGAGTATTTTATATAATTAGGTATATCGTTCACAAAGATATTGAAGAGAATAGGGCCTAGGTGTGAACCTTGCGGAACACCAGAAGTGATATCTCGTAGCTCTGAGCTAAAACCATTAACGACTACATAGAAAGAACGTTCACTTAGATACGATTCGAACCAAGCTAGAACAGAACCCCCTATTCCGTATGCAGATAGTTTTGTCAGAAGCCGTCGATGGACTACTCTATCAAAGGCTTTGCTGAAGTCTGTATATATTGCGTCTACTTGTTTATTGTCATCAATGTGACTTGCAATGTCCTCCACATACGTAACCAGATTAGTATTAGTAGACCTACCTTTTGTGAAGCCGTGCTGGTTGTCGTTTAAATACTTGTCGAAGTAGGCTTGAAGAATAGGGCAGACTAGAGACTCGAATACTTTAGCTAATGAGGACAATATGGAAATAGGCCTGTAGTTGCTAATGATCTGCGCATCACCTGCCTTATAAACTGGTACCACTTTAGAAACCTTCCAAACTTTGGGAAAAACCCTAGAACTTAATGAGTTATTAAAGATAATAAATAAAGGTTCCACCAGGCATGACGCGCATCGTGAAATAAATAACGGTGAAATATTATCACTCCCAGTGCCCATTGTTACATCAATATTGACTATTTTTTTTAAATTTGCTTGCGGGAAAGATTTAGAGTTGAAAAACAATTGATTACTCCCCCCACTGATGTACTAAAAATATTCTCGTCAGTATTTATGTCACATGGGACACTAAGATTTGAGGTAGTAGAGAAGAAGTAAGATGCAAAGCTGTTACATATGTCATTACCGTTATGTATTATCGTATTACCGTCCGTCATCGTAGCTGGATATGTTCCAGAGCCACCAAGTTTAATTTTAATATAAGACCAGAACAGTTTTGGGTTCGTTAAAATTCCGTCCTCAATTTTACGAATATAAGCGTTGTAGCATTCAGAAGCTAATTTTTTGCAGCGGTCGGTCAGTAAATGATATGATATCTTGTCCAGGGGGTTGCTGTATTTTTTGTACCTTAGTCTAACCCTATTTTTCTCTCGTAAGCGACTAATCAAGTCATTACTGAACCAGGGAGGATATTTATTAGTTTTTGGTTTGACAATTGGTACAAATTTATGAATGACTTTGTTAACAATCTCCAAGAATAATCCGAGTTTCTTACATCACTGTTCCCATAAAAAAAGAGACTTCCAATCAGCTTCAGCTAAATAGTCATTAATAGCAGCGTAATCTGCTTTATGAAAATTAAACCTACTCACAGCATTGGACTGTAGCTTTGGCCTCTCTAATGGAGAGAGTTCTATAGATAGAGGTGGATGTAGTGGGTCAACAGGACACAAAATGTCTACGGTCTCAGCAACCACGCAGGATGACATATTGGCCAAGACCAAATAGAGAGATCTACCCATACTATTTGTTATAGAGCTATGTTGTGTTAAATTATTTAAATTGACGAAGTCAATGAAATACTGGTGCAGTGATAAGTTATAAGATGGACTCCCAACCAAATTCCAGTCTAAGGTCGGCAAATTAAAGCCGCCAAGTACACAGACATGTGAATTAATTAGCTCGGAAACATGGTTAAAGTTATCGATAAAATGGGTGCGTTTGGCAGAAAAAAGCGCTAGCAAGCGCTTGTAAGCAAAATGGCGATCGTAAGCGGTAAGCGCTGTCAAATCGTAAGTAGCTATTTTCCTCCAGGACACGATGTTAGTTTTAACCGGAGAACCTAACCTAATTTAAATATATGTTTGTAAAGTATTCTTATTAAAAACTTACCAATCATGAATTTTTAATAACATGTATATGTCTATTCATAACATTATATTACTTAAAACTAATATTGCACAAAACAAATTATAAACTCTACTTCAAAACAAATAAATTAAATAAACAAAATGGCGGATTGTGTCAGCGCTACTGAAGTAGCAATCGTGTCCTGGCCGAAAACTATTTTAGCGCTTATAAGCGCTTGCTAGCGCTTTTTTCTGCCAAACGCACCCAATGTTTTAGCATTGACGTTTGTACCGGGGGTGGCAGATATGCCGCGCATAGAGCTAGTGGCTGAGAACCATCAATTACAACCCAAACATCCTCACATTCGCTTTCCCAGCTCTGCATACGCTTCGAATTTAAACGTTTAGAAATTGCAATTAGTGCCCACCCCCCTCTTTTTTCACGTTAAAGTCAGACATTTCTCTGTCCTTCTGTATACGGCATATCCCTCACCAAAAATTTCAGAGTCAGAGAGTATTTTACTATTCAGCCAGGTCTCTGTTAGAACAATAATATCATAATTTGAAATAAGCAGGTTTTGTAAAAATATGTGGGTTTTAGTGCTTAAACCTCGAACATTTTGATAATATATAGATATCGAAGTGAATTTTATAGATTTTTATCCAATTACTTGTATTAAATTAACATAATAGTTATCATTACAACTATTAATACAATTTAATGAGTCCATATCTCTTATAAGCATATAGTCAGAATTATCAGTTCTTCACATAAAAATACGCCCGTTCCTAACCCACACATGTTTGTATCCTTTTTCTTTACCAATCTTTCTAGCTGCGGCATGAAGCGATTTATTCATAGGGGACAAGTGATCCACAATTAATATTGGAGATTTTTCGCCGTTGAATCCCAGATGCGAGCTATTAAGCTTATCCTGCATTGCCTTTTTTCGGTTGAAATTGATAGATGCTGCTAAAAACTCATCAGGAATCTTTTTTATTGGCGAATTGGGCTACAATTGATTTTGGTCGCGTACTATTAGGGTTGATCTTGGCGATGCGTGTACAGTTGATAACATTTTCGCTTTTAACATTACACTTAAGTACAGTACCCAGTTGGGTCACTACTTGCATTAAGTTTTCATTTTTTTTCTCAGGAACGCACTGAATTTCTACATTCATAGTTCGTGCGTTCTATTCAAGGGTATTAATTCGCGCCGTGAGGTCCTTAACATTGGTTTTATGGCACTGTTCTTTTTGGAAATCAACCTTCGCCTGTTTAGTTTCTTATCAATAATTCATATTTGGAATTCATGAAATCCATAGAGCTCCTAATTTCCAGCATCTCCTCCTTAACTGATTTTAGTTCAAAACTAATGGAAATAGTTAGGGAATCGATTTTAGATGTAATGCTCTTACAATACTCCTGTATGAGGCCTCTAACTTCATCAGCCGACGCTCCTATTATTGGAAGTGACTGCAGTGCCTGTCTTTTAGAAGCCCGTACCGTGACATTAGGGTTAAATCGCACCGATGTGTTGTCGTTATGCCCAGTTTTGGGTCGTAGGCTGGTACACAGAGGACATTCCAATGTCGAAAACTCACTAGGTTTTATTATGGAGGGAGAGCTGAGACAGGCCACGTGAAACTTTTTTGAGCATTTCTGGCACTTAATGTACCCTTCTGTGTCAGGGTTATCACCACAGCATCCCCAATCATTGTTGTCGGTAGACATTATACTATTGTTTATCACTGAGGTTTGCAACAAAATACACTTTACTGCAAAGTTGCTGAATGCAAATTGGTAGGCGTTAATCGCACTTACACCGTAATTTTCGTTAATAAATTTTATATAATGTTCGATACTACCTGAGTTTAGCAATTCGTCTTTAGAGGCAAAAGCATTCACCCGAGAAGACGCATACTCGTTGTTGTTGTTTACGTAAATTGTTCACTTGTACTTGTTTATAATATAATATAATAATAAAAAGATAATAAAATCCTTTATTTCGATCAACAATAGTCATATATTGTTAATAAAACAAACCTTAACCTAATGGTAGTATAAAATGAAATAGAAATTAATATTAAAATATTATTAGCTATGGCAATTATCCTACATTAGTAACTTAACCTACACCCAGCCTCACATAGCGAGACCCAGGTGGGGTTCTCCTGGTGCTGGTGTGTGTACCATTCCAAGTCTCCAGAGAGGGCTATCCAGCTTCACAGCCAATGTGCTGAGAAGGGTGTTAGAACTCCTCAATAGCCGCAATAGCAAATATGATCGCGTAGAAGGCGTCCACACGAGCATCCGCAAATATAGCCGACGCACTGCAGTGTCGAGGCCTCCTCTACGTCACCCTCAGCACATTGTGGTACTGAACACGCAGAGCACTGTAGGCTCGCTGCGTATAGTTAGTCCACACATTAAAGTGCTCGTGTAAAAGGCAATACACCTTGAACAAAGTTAACTTGACTTGAGTCGTACTATGTGCAAATCTGCGAACCAACATATTGCCCGGGACCGACAGCGCTCGGCGCTTTCGTTCAATGTCGCTGTCGTCATCTAGACGTTCAGTTACAATATTTCCGAGGTACCTAGACGCAGCTACTTGTCTCAGAGCCGTGCCACGTAGCTGGATACGTGTTTTGAAGTTGGTTTGAAGTCAAGTGGTTTGTTTTTACCTCTGAAGACAATAAATTCACTCTTTTTTGAGTTGTAGCTGAGTCCAGTCTCCTCTACATATTCTTCACAAGTTCTTAACTGTTTACGAAACCCGCTGACTGAGGGCCTCGACAGAACCATGTCGTCTGTCGTCGTCGTCATAAGTAAAATTATTCGTCGACACACCGTCTATTGAGCAACCGACAGCTGCTCTGCTGAGCCTCTCAATCAGTCTGTTAACATAAAGATTAAACAGCCTGGGTGATGTCAGCCCTCCCTGCCTCACTCTGCACTCTAGTTTGTAGGGATCACTTAAGGCGTTACCGCATCTAACTGTATTATTCTCTTTACGGTACCAATATTCCAGCAGTTAAACCAGCTCTAGTCTTAAGCTACTTTCCCGTCTTAGTTTTCGCCATAGGATTCTGTAAGACACACGGTAGAAGGCTTTAGACAAATCAAAACACGAGTCTTCCTGTCCGTTTGTACTGGACATTTGATGTAAGATTTGAGGTTTGCTGCTGCGCTTATAAACAAGTTTCAGAAAGCGATAGAAAATCCCGAAAATGCAGATGAAATTGCTCAAATAGCAACGACAAGGTTGAACTTGCCTATTATTTAGGTCATTTTATACAGGATTTAATTTAAATAGACGAAGAGTGTTATTTAGAAGTGTTGATGCAAACCTGCCAACACGTAATACTTTTCCACATTTAGATACAAGTGATTTGAAATTAATTTCTTTAGGACCTTACCAGGTGCAACAGGCTCGCTCATATTATGGTGAACACTTCAGAGAGCGAGGTGATTATGTAGTTGAAATAAGTCCAGAGTTAGAATTTTCTGGGGAACTTGTAATGCACATTGGAGGTAATCACCCTGTCCTATTATGAGAACCCTTATTAAGAGGTCGCATTAAATCGAGACATACTTCTAGGCGTGAGTATTATACTTATATTTTATATGATGACGAACCTTCAAATCAAAACCAACCGAGAGATGCTCTAAGGTTATTGGTGTAATTTTGTAGCTGGAAACCGGGCTGTTGGATGTTGTGCACATATAATGACTACTCTGTGATACTTGGGATAGGCTGCATTCCGTGAGAATGTACTTAATAACATTAAGTGATTAAATGCACAAAATAATGCAAGTTGTTTTATTTTCTGTCTGATATACTTCGATCAATAATAGTATTAATATAATAGTTACAAATGATAAAAATTATTTGAAAGACTGAAAAAAAACTGCTGTCTTTGTTTTTTTTTAGCCAAATCCAGTTGGTGGGACACATCCTAAACATATGGGACAAATGCATATACATTAACCTATGTGACAACACTCATGAAATTGGGACTTTATTAAAATGTAATTAATTATTCTATATTTCGCCATTATTGTAATGCGAGTTGTCGGTTGTGTAGGAAGTCGAGCGCGTTGCGGTACATCGACGTGTGGCTGGTGGATCCGCTGCGTGCGTCGTGCGAGGACGCGTTCACGGTGCGCGCGCTGTTCGCGCTGCAGCTGGCCGCCGTCGTGCGCTCGGCGCGCGGCTGGCAGCACCTGCGCCTGCGCGCGCACTTCGTCACAGCCGCCGCGCACGGTCAGTATACATTCACGTTCACGGTGCGCGGGCTGTTCGCGCTGCAGTTGGCAGCCGTCGTGCGCTCGGCGCGCGGCTGGCAGCACCTGCGCCTGCGCGCGCACTTCGTCACAGCCGCCGCGCACGGTCAGTATACGTTCACGTTCACGGTGCGCGCGCTGTTCGCCCTGCAGCTGGCCGCCGTCGTGCGCTCGGCGCGCGGCTGGCAGCACCTGCGCCTGCGCGCGCACTTCGTCACAGCCGCCGCGCACGGTCAGTATACGTTCACGTTCACGGTGCGCGGGCTGTTCGCGCTGCAGCTGGCCGCCGTCGTGCGCCCGGCGCGCGGCTGGCAGCACCTGCGCCTGCGCGCGCACTTCGTCACAGCCACCGCGCACGGTCAGTATACGTTCACGTTCACGGTGCGCGCGCTGTTCGCCCTGCAGCTGGACACCGTCGTGCGTTCGGCGCGACTGGCAGCACCTGCGCCTGCGCGCGAACTTCGTCACAGCCACCGCGCACGGTCAGTATACGTTCACGTTCACGGTGCGCGGGCTGTTCGCCCTGCAGCTGGCCGCCGTCGTGCGCTCGGCGCGCGGCTGGCAGCACCTGCGCCTGCGCGCGCACTTCGTCACAGCCGCCGCGCACGGTCAGTATACGTTCACGTTCACGGTGCGCGCGCTGTTCGCCCTGCAGCTGGCCACCGTCGTGCGTTCGGCGCGACTGGCAGCACCTGCGCCTGCGCGCGAACTTCGTCACAGCCGCTGCGCACGGTCAGTATACGTTCACGTTCACGGTGCGCGGGCTGTTCGCGCTGCAGCTGGCCGCCGTCGTGCGCTCGGCGCGCGGCTGGCATGTATATCCGCATGGTCAGTATACGTTCACGTTCACGCTGTTTCTTCTGCATATCAATGATATGTTGCAAACCCGTAACATTCATTGCTATGCATATGACAGCACTGGTGATGATCTTTACACCGGCCGAGCCAATATTTCTCGGGAAAACGTCTCCAAGTGCCGGGACAAATTTGTGTCTGAAGTCGAGTCTTTGCTGAACAGAGTCTCGGATTGGGGGCGACTAAATCTAGGCTAGTTTAATCCCCAGAAGACACAAATTTGCGCGTTAACCGCTAAAAAGAACCCCTTTGTCGTATCCCCTCAGTTTCTAGGCACGCCCCTTGTTGCCTCAGCCAGTATCGGAATCCTCGGCGTCGACATATCGAGTGACGTGCAGTTTCGTGGTCACTTGGAAGAGAAGGCCAAATTGGCCTCTTAAAAGCTTGGCGTGCTCAGCAGAGCGGGACAGTTTTTCATGCCGGCACACCGCCTGCAACTTTACAAGGCGCAGGTTCGGCCGCACATGCAAACGCACATGCAAACGAGCATGCGGCTCACCTGGTGTTAAGTGACTACCGCCGTCCATGATCAACCGCAACACCAGGGGAATTGCAGGTGCGTTGCCGGCCCTTTAGAAAGGGCCCTCTTTTCTTGAAGGTCTCCAGGTCGTATCGGTCCGGAAAAATCGCCGGTGGTAAACTATTCCACAGAGAGGTTGCACGCGGAAGAAAACTCCTTTTGAAACGTACAGTGGTGGACCGCCAAGCATCCAGATGGTGATCCAGAACGCCGAGGATTCCGATACTGGCTGAGGCAACAAGGGAGTGCCTAGAAACTGAGGGGATACGACAAAGGGGTTCTTTTTAGCGGTTAACGCGCAAACTTGTGTCTTCTGGGGGTTAAACTGGACTAGATTTAGTCGCCCCTAATCCGAGACTCTGTTCAGCAAAGACTCGACTTCAGACACAAGTTTGTTCCGGCACTCGGAGACGTTTTCCCGAGAAATATTGGCTCGACCGGTGTAAAGACTAACGTGTTATTTGTTCTAGATCTTTAATTATACTGCCTCTTAATAACTACAGTTTATATTAATATACATATATACGAGTATTTCGTGTGGACTGATCTATAACAGCCACATAATACTATAATACACAATAGAATGGCTGTCAACGTTATTTTGTACGAGATTCGGCGTCGCCGGGAGCACACATTCAGGCAAGTACGTCGTATTATCAGTTACAAACCCGATTCGCTGTGTTGACAGACGGATTTTATTACATATTTATAGGTAATTAGGGTTCAATTTGGCATTTTTTGAATAATTTGTTGGTTGACATTTTATACATTTCAATTGACGTCTTGTGGCATTTTAGTGGCTACACGGGCTACGCCCACACCCCCGTTCTATTATGTATGTATTATAGTATTCTATGGTAACAGCATATTAAAATTAACTGTTGAACAGGGGTCTCCTACATTGCCTCATTGCATTGGCAAGCGGGTTGGAATTCAAAATTAATTATAATATTTTGCATTTATGTATACAAGTTGATGTATAAATGAGAGTGTTGGTGTTGTTTGATGCAGCTGTGGTACTTGTAGAGGGCGGGCGGTCGTATTCCGCGGAGGCTGCGCTGGAGTCGCGCGCGGCCGAGCTTGCACCGGGCCGGCCCGTGGACGAGCGCCTGCGCCAGCTGCTCAAGCTGCTGCGGATCGAAGCCACGGTGCACTGCGTGAGTGTCGCCCGACGACTACCCTCGTTTTGTTGTTGTTTCTTTTATTTTAAGGACCACGCTCTTACAGAATAATACCAGTGTAAAATATCAGCAGCTCTATGCTTAACCTCTCAACCCCCTAGCGGTCTCATGAGACCGCGGCCATATTCCGTCAGCTCCCTAGCGGTCTCATGAGGTCGCACCCACCCACAGCACTTAAACCCATAAAAACTTATCTATGGAAACTACTTTTCTATGAAGAAGTTTGACATTATATAATCAATACGAAATACTCTATCCTCTAGTGCAATAAAAAACTGTTATCCTATAAATATTTATTTATAATCTACTTTCAATTCGTACGCCATTTTCGTGTAAATGTTATTGTGTTGATTTTTTGGATTTTTCTAGTGTTTAATAGTGTTTTAGTATAGTGTTTTATTATAATACTGCAATGAAAGGTTTTGTGTGAATATAATTTTTCTTTTTACGTTAATAATTTCGTGTAATATATATTGAAATAAATGTGATTTTCACGCTGCCCACATTCGCTTGGTATGTTTTCTTTTGTTATCAAAATACAATAAAATATTTTGTAATGAAGTAAAACCTGACTTTTGTTTATACCACAGAACAGAGAGTTTTGTATAGATTTTATAATGCTAAACTTCTTTATAGAAAAGTAATCTCTAAATATAAGTTTTAATGGATTTAAGTTCTGTGGGTGGGTGCGGTCGCATGTGACCGCTCGAGATTTGCCGGGCGCAATCGACTGCATGGGATTTTTGTGGCGCTTGAAGGGTTAACCGGAGGCCCTTTTTACTAAAAACCATGCTTTCCATCATGGTCCTCAGCGGCATTGCATCTGCATTTTGGTGCTTATTCGAGTATCGATATGGCAATAGAAGAAACGTGGGCAAACATTTCGCCCACGCTTCTGGTGAAAGGCTCGCTTTTCGTGCCAATCTGTAAAAAATCAACAATTCACTTTTATTGTGCCTACTTTTTTGTAATTTGTTTTTGTATTTTATCGGGAGGATGCGATGTAGATGTCTATGGGCCACAGCATCCACTTACCATCAGGTGGACTGTGTGCTCGCTTGTCACCCTATCCTATAAAAAAATAGTATCTACCGAGACAGGCACATAGACAGAAATATAATCCAATCACCTAGTAAAGTTCTAGTTTGGGTCTAGCTTAATGTGTTTTGTGTATATTTTATCTTATTTATCTATATTCTTAAGTACATAAAACAGAGATGATGGACAATATTTTACAAACACGAGCCGTAATTGAATTAGGGACACGAGATAGTCTTTTCACAAATTGTAAACTCCCTCATTTACATTCGCACTTACACTACACTTACTCCTGTATTGAACATTCAAGTAGGTTTGCCATCATTAGCGTAGACTATATTTTAATGTTCTTAGGTGACGGAATGGCCGGCGTTAGAAGATTACGGTCGGTGGGCAGACTCCGACGACAATAGCATATTCCACAGGATACCTTTGAGTTATTTACATAAGTAAGTACACTGTATATAGATTGAAGTTTCGTGAAATAATAATAATTATAATATAATAATTTATTTTAATAAACTGTACAAATAATTCCAATAAGTCTTAATTTAATATAATAATAATATAGAAATACGTTGCTGTTTAAAGTTTGTTCTTCTGGTTGTTTGTTCTTCTACCTAGTGGTTATTTTTTTCAATAACTTATCAATTGTTACCACTGGACATGAGTTACTCTCAATTTGGTTTAATCCCTCTCAATGAAAAAAAAATCATTATTGCCGTACCGTTATTATATTATATTGGTTTCTCCTTAAAATACTTCAGCATTCGTAGTCTTTGTCTATCCCTATCTATTTTTGTCATCAATCACCACTAAGGTATTGGTGACAGAAATAGATGGGGTCGTAGTGTGTGTGCAGTTTGTGCTCATGTGAGGAGTCACGGGCAAGATTGGCTACATCTTGAAGCGAGCGTCCATTAAGACATACTACAAGCCGCTGAAGAAGATTAGTCAATTTTTACCATCCATTAAATGTAATATTCCTCTACAAGATGCAGGTGTGTACAAGCTAGATTGTGAATGTGGTCTCTCTTATATAGGTCAAACAAAGAGATCTATAAAAACCCGCGTGAAGGAACATATAGCTGATGTGAAGCACCGACGCTCCGGAAAGTCTGCAGTCTGCGAACATGTTCAAGATCGTCCCCACCATTACATTAGATTTGATATACCAAAAATTCTCGCAAAAGAACACCGATTCCTACCAAGGATGATACGCGAGGCTATTGAAATTAAAAAACATCCAAATTTCAATAGAGAAGATGGTTGGGTGCTACCATCTGCTTGGGATCCTATAATTAACAAAATTAAACCCAAACCCAAGCATACCACTGCAAGACTTCATGATACTATAAGCTCGTTTTGCGTAAATCTGTGTATATATGTGATAGCCTAATAAACATTCACGGAGTAATAAATCTGCATTCAAGACCGCTAGACGTATCATTTATTCCTCGAACCTCCCAACATTACAGGGTGTTTATCAATTCAGACGGACTCCTAGAAAGAAGAGCATCCCATGACCGTGTAGTGGCGATATAAGAATATACATTACCCCATATCGTCCCGTGGGTGTGGGTGAGGCGACAGAGGGAAACAAGCCAGGAGATGCGCAGCAGCTTCTTCTTGATAGCAAATCAATATTATAAAAACTTGCGGTTGCAAATGTGGCCGTGGAAGGAAAAGGGGAGATCTCCCGCCGGGCAAGGTGCGGCGACACTCCGTGTGATAGTTCGGAGAAGTTCTATATATACTGTTTATGATTCGGAATGTTGATAGCGCAATTTAGGCTTCGGTGGGTTTCGGTGTGCTAGTGGCGCAACGACAGCGCCGCTACACAAACTTGCCTACCAAGCGTTGCAACTATAGAAAAATCTGCCCCCCCCCCCCTCCTCCTATAAAGCAAGGCCTCGCATCGACTAAAACCCCATGGTGTTCTGCCTTCGTCGCATATTGTAAGAGCCACGGCAACGCTTTCGTACACATCCGTCGTCCCTTGGTGACCCTTCCTTCGGGAGGGCTACTCCTCCTACATCTCCTCAGGCAAGGCGCACTAAAACACATGCCACGCCTTCCTACGTGGCCTCCAACTTCACCTGCGCAACGCACGTCCCTGTGTGCGCGAAGGCCATGGGGCAGGAAAAACGATCACTCAGAAGCATTAGCCTTCCTGACCCCAGCGGCGGATCTGGTCTATGGCTCCGCCGCCAACCAAGATTCTGCGCAGGATATGACGAGTGGCGCATTGCTATACAAACACTCCTCTTCCCTGGCTTGGCAAGTCCCACCCAGAGTGGCCAACTTAGGCCGGCTCTACACCACTGCCCAGACATGTGGGTTCCGACAAAGCGGGTACCCGTTCAGGGAGGGGGGGAGGAGGCCTATGTTAAGCAATGGACTTTTGTAGACTTTAACGATAGTCCGATCTCATAAAGGTCGTTTTTACTTATTAAAAGCCAGTGCTGCTTCACTTCAGTCCCACTTGGTGGCAAGTGGTGATAAATCCCCAGATGGTAAATCGCACTCTTACAAAACTCGTCCGAAGCTATGAGGTGATGATTTTCTATAATACAATGATGCTGAATTTGCTATGATGGCGTTCATGTAATTAACAAACACCGTAAACTTATAGTATTAAGTTTGTTACTTTCGTTTGCATCAGCCGGGATTGCTATATGCTACATTTCATGGTGAATGGTACTATGCATGCGATGGTCAACATAACGCTGGCTTGAAATACATTTATTCGAGTTCTTCATTTGTTCAGTCCTTTATCTGAAGTAGTGGCGGCGTATTAATTAATGGTGGTTAATATAGCGCATAGCGCCATATTATAGCGCGCTATCTCTTCATAACGCATAACGCGTGCTATGTAAGTAGTCGCCATGGCGCTATGACGCTATTACGCTTTGGCGCTCTTCATATCAAGCGGCAATTAGTTCTAGCAGCAGCGCTGTTGGGAGCAGACGTGTGACGCAAATTTAATCTAGCAGCACGCTATTCATCGCGCGCGAACTAATTTAGTGTTAGACGTTATTTAGTTAGTGTACGTACGTACGTACGTGTATACGTGGTAGAGCCATGCTGCAGTTATATTAGTAGTATAGTTGTAGCACGAATGGGTCGACTCGACCGGGGAAGGACCACGCTCTCACAGAATACCAGCGTGAAATAGTAGCTTAATGCTGCTGTATTTCGTATGGTGAGTGTAGAGAACCGGAGACCCTTTTTACTGGAAACGAGGCATTCCATCTTAGTCCTCACGGGTGACAATCATCGCATCGCATTTTGATTCGTAATCGAGTATAGATGTAGATGTCTATGGGCCACAGCAACCACTTACCACCAGGTGGGCTGTGTGCTCGTTTGTCACCCTATCCTATAAAAAAAAAAAACTGTATATTTATAAGCGATCGAAGGACACTTGTCTGCTACGTAAGAAGCCTAACTAATGTTTTTAAATGTAAATAAAATATAGATACAAAATTATATAATAGTGTTTGTAAATAGTTGATTTTTGTATATACAATCAATAACTTTTAAATACACCTTTAATTGATTTATAATTTATATTAAGGTTAAAATAAAGTTTACATCAATTATAATAAAAAATGATTAATTTTATTTTGTTTTAAAAAGTACACGCTTAAAAAATATTTTTAGGGTTATAGAAAGTCGTAAGCCTGAAAAGCATGAAAGAGCGTTCATTGATTTTTCTTTACCACTTAATTTTATTTTAATCTCAAATGCGACTTATTACGAAACAATATTCTTATAAAGCACGCGGTCTATCCAATGAACGACATGTAATGTAACGTGCTCCGAGATATAGCGTGCTGCTAAACTTAACGCGCTTGCCGGTCTCCAACACACTTTTTTATAAATAGCGCGCTATAACATAGCGTATTTATTAGCGCGCTAGAAATGTCTAGTTTATAGTCTGTAGCGTGCTATTGATTTATAGTCGTTTTGAACAACTTTAGTATTAATATCCATCCTTGTTGTTCCGTGGGTGTCAACAAAAAATGAGATGAGCAGCAGCGTCTTCGTGATAACTGAAAAAAACTACGATTGCCAACTCGCTTGCCAAGCGAGTTAACTATTGCAAATATCCCCCCTATGAGGTAATCTATGGGCCAGACCTATTCATTAGTGGATTTACGATGGGCTTTAACGGTAACAATAAGTTATTCATTGAAGTCTTTCGTTCTATCGTCATTCATTTACATCATACATAGATAGATTTTATCTGGATTTACTTATCTTAATGATAATTTTATGTACTTGTTTTAGGGTGAATAGTTTGATGCGAGAGAGATGCGAAGAGGGCACGGCCGTAACTTTCGTACAGCTTCCGCAACCGCCGCGTTTGCCCGCCAACGCGTCAAATGACGACGAAGCCATCAGCCAACAGTATTTAAAGGTAACATAAACTTTCATTAGCCGTTTTGAAAATTGTAGTTTGTCCGATTTTTGTCCATGGGTTGAGGTCACTAAACTTATTCACCTTTGTTAATCGACGTGTGTGCGTACTTAAGTGTGAGAGAAAAGAGCTTCTTTTCGTAATCTCTTCTTTCTTTCTAATCTTAGCTGGTCTCGTAGTCTGAGTGCATAAACTCAAGTAGTATGTGCACTCAAGGAGTAGTCACGAAATCATAAGTAAATAGTGTGGATAGACCAAACACCCATTCTTAATTTATAAGCAGTTTCCCAACGGCTTCGCTCGTACATTTTCGTATTTGATAGATCTCCCTTCCCATTTGCTCTCTGAGGAATTGATTTTTAATATGCCAGACTGCAGTTATATTACTTGTATTGTTGAAGCACTAAAGACCGATTTACACTTCGATAAGTACAGTAGCGTTCAAACAATGTCTTCGTGGCGAGTTTAGTTTAGAACATTAGTTCATAGAGTTCGTCGGAGTATGACGTTCCAAGACTACAGATTTTTTTCTGGCTTTCGTTTAAGATCGTTCTAGAATTACGTCTAGAATTAAATGATCCAGTCAGAGAAGTATTAATGGTTGTTGTTAAAGAAGTTTTTAAGAATTTTCATGAGTGCAGCATCTCTAGCAGGTTTAATTTTACAATTTGAACTTCTACTATTATATAAACATTCGTGTTCTAAATACTCCTGTACGAATTTATACGTGTTATCTTCCGTCCTTTTTATTATAAAAACTCAATATAAAACGTATAAATATTCAATAAACACTATCGTACAAACTTTGTGGCGAGTTTCATTATAAAAGTACGATTGTACATTTTGGCGCGTAAACGTTGCGTCCTGTCAACTTATGCACTGAACTAAACTCGCTCGTTTACACGAGCGGCGAGTTTAGTTGCGGGTGGCGGGAGACGCGCGGGAGGGCAACACTTCGCACTTAACTCGCCGAAAAATAGCTCGGCCGGCTATCCCGTTCAACTTAATCGTTAACTTGCTACTTAACTCGCTTATTGCCGTTCAAACGAGGTTCAAACTTAACTCGCCAGGTTCGCAAGTTAACTCACTACTGTACTTGTCGAAGTGTAAATCGGTCTTTATGGATCGGCTCGATCGGGGCAGGAACACGCTCTCACACAATACCAGCGTAAAATAGTAGCTTAATACTGCTGTGTTTCGTATGGTGAGTGTAAAGAATCGGAGACCCGTTTTAGTAGAAACGAGGTATTCCATCTTACGGGTGACAGCGCATCTGCATTTTGATTCGTAACCGAGGATATATGTATGTGTCTATGGGCCGCAGTAACCACTTACCATCCGGTGGACTGTGTGCTCGTTTGTCACACTATCCTATAAAAAGTTATATAATTTCTTAGAAACAGAGAGTAATTTCGTTTCTGTATGTGGGATTTTTCAATGTCTTTTACGACATTGGTATTGCACTTAGTTGCACCTGAGGCCTTGCCGAGCTGCGGGTCTTATATAGAATGTTACGTGTTTGGATTACTTCTAGTACCTGGTTGACCGAGCTTTGCTCGGTATTTTTCGTTCGATTTTTTTTAATTCGTGTGTTTTGGAAATTATATTTAGATACAAATTACATACTGATGAAATATAAATAATATTTTTTGATCTTAGCGACATAACAGAACGGAACTGGTTATTTGAATAAAAAAATCATGAACGCAATTATTTTAATTAAAATTTTCGTGTTTTTAAAAAATACTAAAAAAAGGGCTCGAAAAAATAGATTTTCTCAAAAAAGAAAGGAACATGAAAAGAAAATTAAAAAAAGTCGGTCGGTCGGTCTGGGCTCGAACCGGGGTTTTAAGATTCTGTGACCGACCATTATACCAATTAAGCTATTTATAATAACTAACAATCCGTCAAAATTTACCTCCTTATTCTAACGATATTGTAGCAGTTTTTCATTGCCTAAAAACACGGACAAAAAGACATTTTCTAAAAATAAATCCTAGCTAGATCGATTTATTATCCCCGAAACTCCCCTGGACACTAAATTTTATGAAAATCGTTGGAGCCGTTTCCGAGATATATATATATATATATATATATATATATATATATATATATATATATATATATATATATATATATATATACACAAGAATTGCTCGTTTAGTAGTATAGGATGATAATATGTTATTGTTTCCAGGTATTAGATGAACTGACGAAGGATCTTTCGCCGACGATACTTGTAAGAGGACTAAAATCCGTCACATCGACAGCTTTGTAATATAAAGTAGTTAGTAATAGTTAAGTTTTTGTGACTGAAGTGAAACTTGTCACACAGTACAGTTACGTTTTAAATAAAAGTTTTTCTATCACATTAATGCAAATAGCAAAATGCATTAATCTATACACATTTCCATTAAAATTTCCTACCATGACAGCTGGCAAAATATTTTACTTCATTCTAAAGCAACGCCGCCCTGATGGCAGTAAAAGTAGAAGCCTTCATTGACGAACTGATTCTGTGAAACAAATTTCGTCGTACACATCTCGCACTTTTGTACTTTACCAAAGATTTATAGATTTATGGGACATAAATCTGTAATTCAAGTTATGGTTGTATTTACGACTCGTGCCACTTTCTTTACTATAGTCTAGTTTAATCTGGCCGCAGTATAGTTATGAAACAAAATTAGTGATGTGCATAGAAATGAGAGTTATCGATAAGGTCATTAAGAGTTGTTAACTTAAACAAAAATTGTTAACAAAAATTTTGATCACATTGGTAAACCTGATGAAAACTTCATTGTTTAAATTTTAGATTTATAATATTTTAGATGACGATAGAAAATGGACGTTTTTGCGCAAAAGGATCTAACCCACAAACTGCTAATTTTGACATATTGTCTTTTGAATTTTGGATCGGTATTCAGTGATATATATGAAAACCCCCCCCCATATATATTTTAATATATATATATATATATATATATATATATATATATATATATATATATATAGATGTGCCAATTGCTAATGCGCAATAACTATCACAATGGATTTTGTGAGAGTGGTCACAATAACAGATTTTTTTAATATCGTAGTTTACTTTAATAATTATGAATATTATATGACACAACTCATCCTTAGTTTAGCTCAACAGTACGGCAAATTAAGCTAATTGCCTAATCATTGATTAATCCGTGCGTGTTTGAAAGTTTAATAATTAGTTAAAAAAGAGCTTATTAATGTAATGAAACTTAATTGTGATTTAGTAACTGACATTTAATAGAAATTAGTTAAAATATACAACTTGTAACAAAAACCCTGTGGTTCCCGTTAACTGCGTTATCAGAATCAGTATCCAAGCATATAGAAATTAAAAAAAAATTAATTTTAATGAAAAAAAAATTGCAAATTGTATGTAGTTTTATTATCTCTGCATTGGCCGAGGAGTAAGAGGATTGTCAAAGACCTCGCATTACCGATACTCGTGCGAGTTAGAGGAAATAAAACCACATACAATTTCCTAATTAATTTTTTTTTCATTAAAATTATTTTTTTTAAATGTGTTTTACTGAAAAAAAATATTTCTATGCGCTTGGATACTGATTCTGATAACACACTTAACGGGAACCATAGGGTTTTTGTTACATGTTGTATAAATAATATTCCTACTGTCTAATTGTCTGACCGTACTAAATGACGTCATTACCGCTTAACTGACAGAGTTCCTACGCAATGGCAATCGATTTGTTTGTAAGTTTGCATGTTATCGTTGACGACTTTTGATGAAATTGATTTTAGTAAATGATAGTATAGGTTAATTTTGACTCCAGTTGTGTTTTGGATCCTTATTAGATAATTACGTCCAATTTTTTTAATGAAAATCGAGCTTATGAAGATTAGGATAGACAGTACACATTATAGTATACATTACCTTGTCTTTGTCTTTTATAATTATAAATTTTTCTTTAATTTTGCGTACTATATTACTAATACAGGGTTACTTTTCAAAGAGTAGCCAAATTTGAAACTTAAGTTCAAATATATAAATAATGATATACCGTTATTGCAGTTTTTGAAAATACGAGTAAATAATTTGAAATTATCCCAAATTGAATATGGTTTTTGGGCAACAACGTTTTTGCCCACCGATCGACCTTTACGAATGTGTGCGTGCACAGTAAAATCAGTTAAAATAATATTACCACACATTTTTAATTTAAAAAATAAATGACATAATGTTTGGGATATTTTTTAATTTTGCTATAGACAATTTGTTTTTAAATTTAATTACTTATTCTGAACTTTTGAAAATTTGGCTGGTTATTGCAAAATAACCCTGTATACTCTATTTCGCACATATTTTTTGAAACGCAAATCATTAGAGCCAAATGTATACAAACATACTACGTATACAAGTTGAAAGAGACTATTTTATCGCGTTTAATTTGAACAGGTCAGTAGGGGATCTACTTTCCCGTACGGATCCCCTACTTTCGTGATGATTTTCCTAAACCAGTCGAAAGGACATAAATATAATAATTATCGTAAATATAAAAATAATCAAACGCGACAAAATTAGTAAAAATCAACCAAAATAATTTATATAACATTAAACACGAACAAGGAAGCAACAAGTAACACTTGGAACTTATTTCAAGCGGAAACCCACAGAATAGCGGCCTATATACTTACTGTGTGCCGATGGTCATCCAGTACCATGAGTTAACAAACAACATTATTGCAAGAAATAAGGCACAGACATTAGTCGTTTTTGGTGTGTCTTTATCTTACCTTTCAAAATTCTTTAATTTTTTTAACTCTTATTACAAAATTCTTTAAATTATTGTCTTTATTTATAAAAAAATAGTTAAGAACTTATATTTTTTGTTCTATTATTTCTAGCGAATTTTCTGGCTTTTATCGTAAAATCCATCTGCTTTTTGTTGTATACAGAAAAAAGATTTTTTACTTCATTTATTTGTCCTTGTCTTCACTTTCAAAATTTGGCATACAAAATTACATTTGTTTTTTGTTAAAAACACGCACTTTCTTACCAAATAGGCAGCAAGGTAATATTTTTCTACAAAATATGAATGATTTGGGATACTCGTAGATCTGAAAAAGTCTTCATTTTCGATCTTTGATTATGACTTTATATTAAGCTTTATTAGTATATACTCGTTATTAAAAAAATTATTGCATTTTCTAAATTTATACCTAATATAGGTCATTGAAAGAGTTTTGTTTCGATCAACGAAATAGGTATTAAACAAATATTATGGACGTATATTTATAATAAATCAAGATGATTTTATGGATCTAACGACAATTAAAAACTAAATTTAATTATTTTTTCGTATTCTTTTAACTCTTAATTGTATCTTGTTTAATATGCTTATTTTAATTTTAATATTCGTCAAGAAAATTCATTAATGCTTGATAGTAAAAATATGATACATATGTAATATTACCACATTGAATTTCTTATGCAAATATTACTTGGTTTTTGTAAGATTTTATTTATTATAATAATTATTTTTCAATTTTTATGATTTTTTTGACATCTAAAATTTTTATTCCGTAAGCTTATTTATTTCAAAATGTTGAATTTGACACGTGTTAAAATTTTTATTTCTAATGTGATATTACTATTTTTATATATTAGTTATTCTGTGTATTTGTTTAGTAGAATTAAAACAATTTTAACAAAAAATAATTTAAAAAAAATGCCACAATGTTTTTCAGAACTAAGTCAGTTAAGTTTGTCACCGTTATTTGTGTCTTCTACTTCTTTGTACGTGCTTTGTGGCGTTCCTTGGGGGAGACCTATCTTCTGGAGTGGACTTGTAATGATGATGATGATAAAGAAAAGATTTTCCAAAACAGTATTTTGCTAGATTTTTTATATGACAACACATCCCAGTTTTATTTTTATAATAAGTAGTTTTATTTTTAATGTTTCTAAATAAGCTTAAACAATTCCAAAAAGTGGCCGCTCATTAATTTAGCGAAATTTTGCGGTGTTATTTTCATAAACTTGTTGCAACGTGACAAAGTTAATAGGTATTTAAATACTAAAGCTTACAGTTAAGTTCACATAATTAGAGGCATAGCCAAAAGTATTTCAAAAACTTAACATAAACTATTATAATTTATGAACTTTAAATAGAAATATTCAGTTTAGTGAAGTGTTATATTATTTTAAATTTAACTCTTTGACATTATTTTATTTATATTTTATTGTGTAATAACTAATAACTTTAATTAATATTCTGTGACTTTAATATTTATAATGCTTGCAATATTATTTATTTACATTTTTTATTATTTTAAAAACCATTACAATAAATAAAATAACTGTTATATCTTTTAAAGTGGGATAATTATCTTAATATCAATAGATTATGAATAGGGAAACATTTAAAAACGTAATTACTGAATGTGACTTTTAACATTCATGTACCTAGGTGTAAGATTTGACTTTTATCATTTGTAGTGCAATGTGGGATGCTGGATGTGATATTTAACACAGAAAGCATTGCCATAAGATACGAATTTAAAAATGTTAATAGTGTGAGAGCAGGTGTTTAACTTACTCTCTTGCTTACGCAGTTAATCCTCTATAAATAGTAAAATGACTGCGACAAATCTCCTGGCGAGTCATTATACCATTACCAACATATACCATAGACACGAGTGGGAAGTTTTGAGAACTACCCTCACTTCTATTTGTCTCTTTTATACACCCTCTGTCTTCTACATACATAAAACTAAAAACCTGTTGAGTTCTCTATTGATAATGAGTTCTTGTAATATTTGTCTATTGTACTAAGTTCTTTCGATAAATGGTTGGACCCACCAATTGGTTGTTGCCAGAACCTCTTCCGTCGATAAGGAGAATAAGCGTCACGCAGAGGGTGTTCAAAGAATAATTTCGTTTACTTGATATATTATTTTTCGTCTACGGATGTAAATTTTAAAATTAATTTACCAATTAAATTTGCCGATTTGAGTTTGTTTGACCCTTTGAAATTTACACTTGACATTAGAGATCCAAAAATGGATCCTTTGATTATTTATAAATAACGAATGCATGAATCAATAAATTTGACAAGTACATTTGAGGATTTGATGTAGGATAAGATTTTACACCAAATATGTGAAATTATGTATAAAGAGAAGTTACCGGTGCTTTTTTTTGTTATACTAATAAGCGCTAACCAAATTTAATCGCTAGGTCTTAGTTTTAAATCGACGGTGATTTAACAAATACAC